GCCTCTTAGGTAAAAAACGGTTTCCGATCAATAACTAAAGAACCCTTAGGCTAGGAACTTCAAACTTGGTATGGTGATTGTCATGACCAAGCAGATGACCCCTATTGATTTTGGGGGGTTAAGGGTTAAAGGGCAAGGTCACATTGACTTGTAGGTAAAAATGCTGTCCGATCAATAACCTTAAGAACCCTTAATGCCTAGGAACTTCAAACTTGGTATGGTGATTGGTCATGACCAGCAGATTGACCTATTGTTTTTGGGGGTCAAGGGGTCAAAGGTCAAGGTCACATTGACCTTGTAGGTAAAAACGGTTTCCGATCAATTAACTAAAAACGCTTAGGCCTAGGAACTTCAAACTTTGTGCTGATGATTGGTCATGACCAAGAGATGACCCCTATTGAGTTTTACGTGAGGGGTCAAAGGTCAAGGTCACATTGACCTTTTAAGTAAAAACTGTTTCTGATCAATAACTCAAGAACGCTTAGGCCTAGGAACTTCAAACTTGGTATGGTGATTTGTCATGACCAGCAGATTACTCCTATTGATTTTGGATCAAGGGGTCAAAGGTCAAGGTCACAATGACTTGTAAGTAAAAACGGTTTCTGTATCAATTACTAAAGAACGCTTCGGCCTAGGAACTTCAAACTTGGCAATGGTGATTGGTCATGACCAGCAGATGACCCCTATTGATTTTGGGTCAAAGGTCAAAGGTCACATTCACCTTGTATCGTTAAAAAACGGTTTCCGATCAATAATAAGAGAACCCTTAGGCCTAGGAACTTCAAACTTGGCATGGTGATTGGTCATGACCAGCAGATGACCCCTATTAATTTTTGGGTCAAGGGGTCAAAGGTCAAGGTCACATTGACCTTGTAGGTAAAAACAGATTTTGATCAATTTACTAAAAACGCCTAGCCTAGGAACTTCAAACTTTGTATGATGATTAGTCGTGACCAGCAGATGACCCCTATTGAGTTTTGGGTCAAGGGGTCAAAGGTCAAGGTCATGACCAGTAGATACTTTATAACCCTTATTAATTGTTTGATCACTGGGTCAGAAGTCATGCATAATAACCTTATCACATGACTAATTGGCTGCTGATAGGGGGCATACATGTTTTACAAACATATCTTGTTTTACTTGATCTTTGAATAGGACACCTTCTATTGGGGGTTTACTTCCCTATAAAAACAAGGTTCAGATTGTGAACTAAAGAAGATATGAATTTCTTATTTGGTTATTAAAAATGTAAAATGTAAAAAAAAAGGTGATAAAATTGAATTTTTTTACATGAACTTTTGTAATTCTACATGTTTATGAATTTGGTTTTTGAAGTGGGATTTCTTAATACCAGTAAACTGAATGTATAAAAAATAGTTTACTTTTAATGTAGATTAACAAAAAAACTTGTTATTTTTTAGTTTTCTGTGTTGTTTTTTTTACAGTTATTTATTTTCGCTTGAAGTGTTAATTATTAAGTTTGCGTGCTTACGGCTTATTTTGCTATTATTTCCAGCGGAGAAATAAATCATCGGTGAGCTTTAAATCACTGTTTGTATGCATATATATTGGATGTATACATTTTCTTTATTATCATATTATATACTTATCATACTTATAACTATTCTTACTCATTTAACCCAGTTATATTAAAAAAAAAAACAAAAAAAAACAACAACATTTTTATCTAAGGCAACAGATGTGCAAAGGGTCAAAAAGGGGGATATTTAAACCTACAGGCTGAAAAAAAAACAACCAATTTTAACAGCATTTCAACCAATGATATGGATCACCATTCTATTAATAATTAAAACCCTGATTAGAGATGAGACTTCCTCTAGAAAAATTTCCTAGCATTTCTGTATGCTTGATAAGTTTCCTGGGTTTTGGCAAACAAGTTTATTTATAGAAAACTTGCATTTATGAGCCATTGTTAATTTTATATATTAAGATGAAATTTCATAGTTATATATTTGGGCAGTGAGTATGAATTGATATACCAGTAAATGGAATGGTTTTTTTTTTTCTCCTTTTTTTTCAGTTTTTCTGTTAGTTGAATGAAGTATTCATTATCAGAGTAGGAATAGTAATAAAAAAAAGTCATTTACTGACTAAATTTGTTTAAATTAAAGATCTATTTACTGCATGTGGTCAAATGCACTATTTTGAAAATTTAGTATGTTTCAATTCCAAATAGATTGTAACTTAGATATTGTAACTTTTATATCAAAAGTGTCATTAATTGTCAATTAAAAAAAGAATTGAACCCTTGACCTGCTGGAGCCAAAATTGACCAGCCTATGCCACCAGTATAGAGTCAGGCCAGTCTGCACATCCACACAGTCTGCCCAGGCTCTACACTGATGGTAACCCCTTTGTTGTATTTTGATACTGAAATCCTTTAGCCTTTGAATGGACTGTTCCAAGTTCAAAACTGGGAAAATGCATCTCAAATTCATCAGGTCAAGGGTTTAAAGAAATACTGATAATGAAACACAGATTTCCCAACTATTGAAATAATGCATGGGTTATGGATCTTGCTATATCACTTATATTAACCTCCCTTTAATTTGCATGACATTTAAATTTATAATAAAAAATAAATTGTATTCAACCTAGAACTTTATAGTAGTTTTTGAACATGTTCCATAGAATTTCTTTTTGAAACTTTAGTATTTTTTCCATTTTTTAGAACAGAAACATTTTCAAGTTAAAGCACTTAGTCTAGTGTAAACAATAATCTTGTATATATTCTATTAAAATTGTTTTTGGGAATAATTTTATCAATGCCAAAAATTTACATGAACATGTTACTTTTGGATTCAGTTTGTTGATGAATAAATATACTTACTGATGAAAATTTTCAAAATTTCCTATGAAATCATGATGTTTTTCCCCAAAGTTTAGAATTTGGATATCACTTCAATCATATTGTCAAGGAAATAATTTTCACTATCATATCACATGACAATTTTTTTTTTATCTCTGATATTAAGATAATAAAATTTTCTCAAGAAATAATGTTGTCTTTCAAAACTTTTGTCTTTTAGTACCTTCACATCATTGTACTTTCTCTGATGTGTTTGCCTTTAAAAATAGGAAAAAGGTCAAGTGTGGCCCCTGCTTGTGTTGGCTCCAGTATATATTTTCAAGAGAAACTAAAACAAAATTATATTTCATCAGATCACTGTATATTAAATAGCTTTTTTGTCACTGACCTGCTTTATGTTTGTTATCAGCCTGTTTGTATATGTTTGTTTGTATTTCTGTATGTAAGCTATACTAACCCAGTGTTTGTATTCAACAGTCACCATCATTAGAGCATCTTACACTAATTAACCAAGAAGGTGATGGTATTGATGGACGTATACGTGGGCGCAAGCCTGGTTCCCCTTCTGTCGCTGACCCTTACACTCTCTATAAATATGACAAGGTACTTCCATGATTTGTCTTCAATTTCAGATACAAAACATGCATCTGTTTTTGGGGGATTTAAAAAGTCAATATACAGGATTGGAGTTATTCTCAAATAAGGCATAAGATTTTTATGTAGAGACACCTGAGTTCCTCCTCCAATAGTAAAGCTTGAAAGTTGCCATATGACCTATACTGTATTGGTGCAATGTAAAACCCAACCAAAATATAAAAGAAAAATTCAAGATATTAAGCTAGACCATTATGAACCTAGAACTATAACTTTAATGGATTTTAATATCAAGATGATTAGATTGAGACTTACTTGAGTTCAGACTTATGTTAGTTTAAATTGTTGGCCAGCCTGACACAGACAATTCAATATTGCCTGTAGGAATAGGAGAGGATAAACTGTGAAACCATTAACATAATGGCTTTTCCTTGCTTTGAATTTGAATTTAGTATCATCAAATACAAAAAATTTAGTTACCAACAATAAAAAGCCTGGTCTGTCTGCACATAAGTACAGACTTACCTTGCTCTGAACTGGTGGCCAAGGCTTAACATTATTTGTTCTAGCAGTGCAAGGGTTAAATATAATCAGTGTGGCTTTTGCAGAATTATTTATGTATAACTAACTTTAACCTGATATAGTTACATGTTTAGAAGTAACAAAAGAGAAACACAAATGTAGATAAAAAATAGCTTAATGTTATTTAGACTTTTTTATGGCTTAAAAAAAACTAAACTTATGAAATATGATAAATTAGTCATAATTGTTGACACTGTTGATACTTTTCTTTATTAATATCTGGATGATACTAACAATAATCTGTTTGTATTATAGGAAAAGTTGGCGAAAGACAAGGCTCGAATGCTTCAGCGACACTCCCAGTCTTACGAGACTGACGATGATAAACGTTCGCATAAGAAACATGGAAGTCGAGACAACTCTCCGACTGCTTCCGAGCGTAGTACAAGAAAAGGTAATTGAAAAACAAACTAAGAACAAGCTTATGATCAGTGTTTTAATTGACCATCTAACATATGGTTTTGAACTCTCCTAAAATTTAGAATATTTTCTAAATGGGATTATCAATATAATTACTGGTACATGGAAATACTTATTTCTACTTGTGGATTAGAACAGTTGTCCACATAGATTATTCTATATTGTTAACCCTCACTTTTTTTGTCATGTTAATTTTCCATAGGCCAATTGGAATTATTCTTACAGTTAATTCAAGTGTACTATGTGAATAAAAATTTTGTGCTGTTACAAAGGTAACAGTACTTTTTCACAGTAAAAATCTGAAAAATAAAAACATACAGAAAAAGTGTCCCAATTATGAAGTATTTGTTTGGGGTTATAAAGTAAACAACACATGGGTTTGTGACTAACAGAAAAAATATAATCCCTCATAAAAATACGGTTACCCTTGGCTAATGCCTTGCATACCAGTATTTTTCTTTGGGATGATACTTTTACTATTACAAACATATGTGGTATTTATATACTGGTAACATAAGCAAGTTGATGAATCTTCTTGCATTCAAACAGTTTTGATTTTATTCCTGGTTATATTGTCAAATTGACATATATAATATAGAGATACCTTGTACTTTAAATACCAGTTACATATTTATAATGACCTCCATTGTGATTACAGGAAAAGATAGGAAATCTATATTGAAGACAACAGACGATGATGATGGTGGTTTTCAAGGACCTAGAGTTAGCTCCCTTGGATCTACACCAGATATTTCTACAGCTGTTAGTGAAAGGGCGGCATCAAACAAATTCACTTACTGCTCACCTGCAGAACTGTCTCAAAATATAGCTCTAAGGTAATTGTTTAATTTTGTTTATCATGTTTGTAGAACCTCTGTGGATATCTTCTCACTGTAATTATGCTGCGCTAGTTGCGGAGGGGTTACCTTTACAGGTTGAGGCATCAGAATTGCAATCACCGTGATCATAAAAGGCGACTAAATGGGTTTGAATTACTGAAATATATGCATCTATTTGCTCCAGCAGGTGAGGTGGTTTTAACCTGGTGTTGCTTTAAGTTTGTAACACCCGAGGTTAGCCAAAATCAGTGCCATATGACCTGAAGTATGTTGGTGAGCCATAAAACCAAATAAACAAAAATAGGTATACATGCTGTTTAAGTAACTTATTACTTCATATTCTTTCAATGTGAGGAAGCTATCCAGCTGGCTTACTGAAAGGTTGTTGTATACCTGAAATATTGCACACCTGATATCTTCCTCCATAACTAAAGCTGGAGTGTCGCCATATGTCCTTGACAGTGTTGGGGTACATAAAAAACCTAAACTAAAAAACCCTGCCCATCACAATTCTTGGGTTAAATCCTTTCTGGTAAGGAATCTTCATGTTGATGGTTTAGTTCTGCAGTCTGCTGTGCCAGAAATAATGAATAGTTTGCCATCTGAGGACTTCCTTCATTTGTTCGAAAACCAACAAATCTTATTGTATTATGACAGTTATAAGAATAGCTATTCTCATCTTAGTGAACGTTTTCGCATTAAATTCGTTAATGCAGAGACATTGATAAATTTGTTATGTAAATAAATTGCAATGATTACAGAAAAGATAGTCAGAATGAAAACACTATTTTGTAAAAAAAAAGAAATATGTCATGTCACAAACAATTTGAACTCATATCAAAATCTCCATATTTTCAGATCAGACAATCCTAGAAGCCATGGCTCACATGGAAATCACCCCAGATCTCACAGGCAACGTAGAATGCGAGATTACGATTCTGATACAGGTTACAGAAGTGACCAAGAGCTTATCAAATTCCGCCAACAACAACAACAAATGTACCAAAGACTTAACGACAATTATAGTGAAATAGTGCCAGTGACTCGACCAAAAGGTCGTAGACGTGACGGTTATTCTAGTGACCTTGAAGGATATTCACAAAGGTCAATGGGTGCTGCATATCATGAAACTAGTGCTGTTGATAATAGGAATTTAAGTAATCGAAATAATTCATTGACTCGTAGTTTTACGTATGACACGAACCAGCAGAGTTCGCCAACCAAGTCTCATTCTCAATACTCACATAGTGAAACAGTAAGAAATGACGAACTGTATGAACAAAACATGGCCGACCCGAGTTTAAGTCATTACCCATCATCCTCTCCTAGTCCTTTACAAAGAAGAAACATTGTTGACCAATCAACACCATTGACACCTAATCCAACGAGGAGTAATTATAAAAGTAATGATAGCTCCGAGTTTGAGTTAAAGAAAGATTTGTTTAATGCCCAGGATCACCATAGAAATGATGGAATTATTGATCCTGAAAACAGATATATGGTAAGATATGATAATTTTATGTTTATCTTTTTAAACTTTTACCTGCTGATTTTGTGTTATGAACTTGCATGTTCTTGATAGATTTTGATATCAAGATGGCAGGTTTGAACAGCCATTGATGATTCATAATTCCTGTTGCTTCTTTTTTAGCAAATCAAATAAATTTTGAAATTAATATAAAAAAATTTATAATGATTGAAATAGTATGAATTGTCAACAATTGTATTGAAAGTCCATTCCAGATTTGGTATTATGGAAATAATCTACTAGTAAATCTCAAAAAGTTAATTAGAATGCTTGTTTAAACATTTTGATCTTCATTTGAAGGACAGAAAAGGGTTTTTGATTTAAATTATATTCCCTATACTATTATAAGCTTGGTAATAGGGAAAGCTATTGTACTTGTCCAGTCATCATACTTTGTTTAAGGTTTTATGTAAAACTTGGTTACTCCAAAATTACTGAAGGGAAAGGGTTGAAACTTTACACAACAGGGCTACCATATCTTAAAAGGCAATGTAAACAACTGTTATGAACAAATGAATCATGCTAGTGAAATATGTTTTGGACTAGTGAATATTCCAATCTGGTAGTCCGACCAGCCTAGTGGATTCAAATCCAGATTTTGTATACTGTGAATATTTGGAGAGCTCTTGTTCCATATAGTGAACTCTGTTCTATTTACTTAAGTGTTCACACATATTTTATTTTCTTCTCTGCATATAAAATATATAGTCAGCAAAGTTATTAAACATGTAAATTAAATCAATTTTGCAGCCAAATACTTCTGTGCAATCTCAGGGATCCAATAGAGATGATAGCAGGCCAGTACCACCTTACAAACCTGCCCCGCCATATCCCTCATCACCAGGGCAACGAAAACTACCACAAACACCAAACAGAACTTCGCCTTACGGTGTTTCAATGTATGATCGACAAACCAGGAATTCTCCAATGAAGGACTTTCACCAACGAATGCCAGATATTAAGGAATCTAGAGACAGTAACACATCTTTAAATAGATCAAGGTCACAGCTGAATGGTAGAAATAGTGACCTTGACATGGAGGATTATAGAAATAGTGACAATTACAGTAGAAGTAACTATGCTGATAATGTGCAAAGTGATTCGCCACGGACATCAACGTCGGACAGTGCTAACGTGTCAAGAACGTTTATAGGTGCTCACCAAGGTGATGTCACATCAGCGTCATCAAAAGATTCTGGTAACTATAGTTACCATGACAGAACACTAGGTGAATCACCAGTGAATTTGAGAAACTCGCCTTTAACAGGTGTACAGGAAAGACGAGGCTCGCGGAATTCTCCTTTAGATTATATTCATGATCCACGGAGGAATTTTGACAGATATGATCATTCTTTCCGTGAACCAACAACTGTACATATACCAACTAGGTACGATGAGATAGCTATGTATAAAAGTGATGAACCACCATCTCAAGTATCAAGTTCTACTGATAGTGGATATGGGCATAATTTGTTTGAAAAAATGCTCGAGACGCAGAGATTCTCAGGTAAGCATTAAATTTGAATGTAGCTTTTACTGTCTTGTACTTCCTTTCTAAATAATATCATTCACCTATAAATGTTATTTATTATGTTTGTCATATATAATGAAGAAAATCTAGATAAACAAAAATGTTAAATTTAATTTTGGTTAAAAAAAAGAAATTGGTAATGTAAAAGGTAAACCTCTGGGTAAATGACAATGTCGGGTGTATAACATAGACAAATAAAGCAACAAACAAATCACAATAAAAATATATCAAATATTAATTAATTTATTGTTAGAATTCTTGATAGTGTGCATCATTTCCGTAGAGATACATATAATAAAGCAACAAACAAATGACTCATCACTGTAAAAATAAATCAAATATTAATCAATTTATTATTATTGTTAGAATTCATGATAGTGTGCAACATTTCCGTAGAGATACTTATGTATCACATATGATATTGATGTAAGACTTCTGAATTTTTTGCTAGAAATTGATAATGTCATAGTAATTTGTTTGGTATTTGGGGAAATTGTAAATACAGAACTTACTAATTTGGAGATATATAGAATTTACTTACTTGGATGAATAATGTCTTTGTTTCTTTCAGGGAAACTCATAATTTCTTCTTTAGAAATTGCTGATACAGTTTTCTCATTCAATTAATGGCATGATTTGAGTAGACAAAAAAACTTCTAAGATATTTTAGAAGAAGATTTTTACCATTAATAATTTATGTCATAAATATATTGTTTCAGGAAATTCTAAAGGATCACCGTCTCCGGATCACTTTAATTCGGATTCAAATACTTCCTCCTCCCAACCGGATGGTGCTGGTCAGTATTCAAGGGGAGCAACTCCTGTCAATAATGGTGACCCACAAATAAGAGACGCGTCTAATCAGGGACAGAGATTTGATAGGGTGAGAATTAGAATGTGGCTTTGCTAACGTCAAACATGCATGAAAATAGAAGTCATGTAGAACTGGGTATAGACAAACTTTAAAAGGCTTTAATGATTTTTTTTCATAAATTTACAATTGTTATTCATAAATATTAAAAATGGTATAAGCGATTTTTTTTCCAGAAAATTTTTAAGTTAATTTATTAAGCTAGTGGTTTTTTTCCTTATCAAAGTATATGTTTAAGTAGAAAAGTGTGAAAGTTTGTCTAAATGAATATCAGAATATCATAATATTGTATTAAAGAGCTTCATTATTCAAGAATCAGCTAAGATATAGTTAAAAGAAAAGGAGGAAAATATTGTTATGTATCCTACTAAAATTCTTTGATACATTTATTTCATGTAAAAAATATGAAGTTAATCAATTTTATATAATTATTATGCTGATTCGAGCAGTAGTTCAAATGTAAATTGCCAGGTAGCCTGCTTATTGAGGGTCGGTGGTTCAACATGAGTGACGGATTGTGTCTGAAATAATACACATAGGGGCACATGAGGTATTCCTCTACTGTCGTTATATGACATTTTAAGTGCTGATGTGACATAAGATTCAAGGATACAAATCAGATGTTAATTGGGTCAATTATAAAAATACAAGTGTGTTTCTCATGTTTAATTTAAACCAATCATTTCTAGATGGACCCAACTCAGTCAGATGAGCGAATAAATTTACAGCCGTTCTCTGAACGGTAAGAAAATCACAATAACATGCCAGGCTGAAGGTTTTTATGTCTTCTTATACACACTGGTGATGCACAAAGCTCTATCTCATAGTCTAGCTATACTGCTATATGTTTTTACTTTTCCAGCCAAAAATATCTTCATACCCCCAATTAAAAAATTATTATAACTTACCATATTTTACTAAAAAAATTACAATTATTACATAAACCTTTCTTGTATTCAATTCATTTATCAGTGACAATATTAAAAATGGGGAAAATGTTTATAGTTACTAACTTTACCTTAACATTCTCATAAATTTTCCATTTAGTATGGACACAGTTTTTAACTTTGGTGAAGAGAATAATTGAAACTAAAGCAAAGGATGCTAGTATAAATTAACGTGGAATTAACTCCTACCCCACTGAAGTAACATAATGATTTTATGATATGAGCTGCGTCACGACAAAACCAACATAATGGGTTTTCGACCAGCATGGATCCAGACCAGCCTGCACAGTCTGATCAGGATCCATGCTGTTCGCGTACTAACCCTATAACAAGTAGAGAAACTGATAGCGAACAGCATGGATCCTGATCAGACTGCGCGGATGCGCAGTCTGGTCTGGATCCATGTTGGTCGCAAACGCACTATGTTGGTTTTGTCGTGACACGGCTCATTATATTTTTGGAATTGGGGAATAAGGGTGTTAAGAATTTCACTATTAGAATACTAATTAAGAATTTCTAATGGTTAAATGATCAATCTGGCTGTACAGATGCATGGAGTGACCTAGCTCTATACTGTTCGCATAGGCTCGCCACTGTTAAAAGGTTATTTATGATATATATTTCTTGACACACATGGCTATCAAGGAATCAAGAAATATTTATCCCATACAAACAAATTTGATTTCAAAATAGCATACCGGTATATACATTGTATATTATAATTGTGCAATAGTTGTAGTAACTGGGAGTAAACATTTCATTGACAGATTTTATTTGAATGCTAGTAGATAGGCAACAGAATTTTAGATTTGTAACATCAGAAATGTTTTGCAGTTTGACATTGTAGAAGTATAATATAAAAAAAACAGGCTTAGTATCAAATTGAAAACCAATGAACTGTTCAAAGATGCACGACTTGCAATAAGTGTTAATTTTTTTCTGTCTTCATGTAATGGAATGATTAAACAAGACTTACCTTGGGACATTAGTTTGATCAATATTATATGAACCGCATATCCTTTTAAGGGCCTAACACACAGAGAGAGGAAAGCTGGCTTATCAGCAACACTGGTCCTTTGTCCTGATATAGATTTGTATCAGTACATTGTCAATAAAGCGGAAATCAAACACTTCATCAATCTAGTAGCTAAATGTATGTAGTCTATTAAAACTGCCTAAACATTTAGACCAGCTCTGTTTCTGCACCTGTTGACATTGGAAACTTTTTTATCTGGGCCTCCAAAGGACTGAAGTCTTTTGCTTCCTTTATAAGTACCTTCACTTTCAAATTGATTTTCATCTATTCAGAGTTGAATCTTTATAGGGACAGAAAAACCTTTATAGGGACATCAGTGTATGTTTGGTTTATATGACGTATTCTTGCATCTTTGATAGTTCGTGTAATCACTATACAGCCTTGCAGTGTGTTAGGTGAAGCAGAAATAGTCTGAAGTTTGCACGTAGATGTAGAAATACATGTGTTGCAATTTGTTTCAGTTTCGTGTGACTATAACAAAGAATCCAGGGTTAGGTTTCAGCATTGCAGGCGGCAAAGGGACTTATGGGAATCCCTTTAGGCCCACTGATTTGGTAATTAACTCTTTCTTTTCTAACATGCTCTGTCGAAATAACATAAAATAAAACCATGTATATTAATATCCCTTTGAATACCAATTTTCTAATCTAACTTCCCTTGCTATTAATAATTATGGTTTTGGGATGATTTGCATTAAGTTAATAGCTGATATGTTCAGGAAGGGTATTTCAAATAATAAATAAGGGAGCTACATTGTAATTTGCATTGATAAGAAAGGGTAAAATATTCAAATGACAGGGGTCAGTTAACATTGTTTTAGAAGAAAGGGGGAGATAAAAATTAATTTGAAAGGGTTACAATTTGCATTTACATAAAGGAAGACAAATACATATCTATATTACTATTAAAGGGAGACAATTCCTATTGATACAAAAGGGAGACAATTTTGCATGTATATTAAAGGGAGGCTACTGCATGTCATGACTGACTATCTTTGTAAATCTGCATGGTGATGGTTTAAGATTTTTGTTAATAAAAATGAGCACATAACAAAATGATATACATGTTATATGTACTATAACTGAAGCTATGTTCAAGTTTTGCTGCTATGCTATGCTATAGGTTCTTAAATAAATGTATTTCTATATGCTTGATGGTTCAGATGAATATAAATGTGGTAAGAAAGTTAATTTTGCGAGGTTACATTTAAAATCACTACAGGATTTATCCGGTTATAAATTTCTTACAGAATATAATATGATTGTTTTCATTTTCTTTTTTGCGTGTGAACATTTTTGTAAAGTTAGAAAAATTTTGTATTCACAAAAGTATTGTTTCAAACATGCCATGAATCATTTGTGTGTTTTCACTCGTTGCTTTGGTTTTATGTGAGCTGACACATAGTCTTCACAAAAGCTGCCACAATTTCAGAAAATTGGTACAAAATGTAGTGTTTTTTGGGTTTTTTTAGAAACGATCATGATTAAGTCTATTTTGCTTGTTTTGTTTTTTACTTGGCAACTTTGTTTGACTAATGGCAGTTTTAATTTTTGTTCTTTCATTGTAAATTGTATATGTGTTTTTAAAGTATTTTTGCATTTTTTTGAGAAAAGTTAAATTGTGAAAAATGGTCAAATTATCTTGTTATGAGTCAAACAACATTTAAAGAGGCTTTTTGAGTGTAGATTCTGTTTAGGTTTAATATTAAAAAAGCTACTAATTTGTATTAGTTTATGTTTAACTTATGGTGGTTTAATTTAATTATTGTTATAGTAACAAAGTTATGTGAAGTAACTAAAAATTAAAATGTGTTACAGAATTGATAGAAATTTTTGTTTTACATACAGGGTATATTTGTGACAAAGATACAGCAAGGTGGACCAGCCGCCTCTACTCTGAAAAGAGGAGATAAATTATTAGAGGTAACCATGAAATTAATTTCTTTACATTCATAAAGGGGAGATAAACTGTAAATGTGACTAAAATCTTTTCAGTTAGGTTCCAGTGATGCAATTTTCACTTAGAATAGCACATAATGTTTGAAATTATATTTTGTCCAATAGGATTGCAGAATCGTAACACATTAAATTTGGTAGATTGACAAACTGTTAATCAGTCTAATAAGTCAACTGTTTTATAGAAATAATTAAAAACACCAAGCTGGTTAAAATTTATTAATACGTATTTACAAAATTAAATTGGTCGCGCAGCCTGACCAATTTAATTTTGTAAATACGTACTTATAAACTTTGACCTATACTAAAACAGTTAGTAATCATTATCTTGAACTTTGCTGCAAAAGGGTGAGATAAACTAAATAAAAGGGATATTCAACTGCAAGGCTAAGTTAATTAATGCTTTCAGCAACATTGTATGAAACTGTCTAGATGTACTGTTTATGTGGGTTTTTTATGCCAATGTTAATACATTTGGGTGGATCAACTGAACCTGCAGTATTTATCAATTTCTCTGCAAAACATCAACTACTACTAAATTGACAATGTGAGAAGAATGACCATGAGACTCGATGTCAGTTGTCGTGGAGAAATATTCTCTTTGCTCCAGGATCGCACCAGCCACCCCTGGATTACTAGTCTGATGCTTTCCCAATTGAGTTATGGGGACAGAGGATTAGATTAAGTGAATAAATAACACCAGAAATATATCAATTCTAACCTTAACTCTTCTTACACTTGCGCCCAAAGCATCACCATAATTATATTTTCCTAGTAATTTATCCATAACTGTTTCCTTACCATGTATCTTTATTTTATTTCAACAGGTTAATGGTCAAGATTTCACTGCAATTCAGCACACACAAGCTGTAAATGTGCTGAAGTCAACGGGTAGTTCTGTACAACTTTGTGTAGAAAGGGAGATAACTAGTTGACAGGAGGAGCAGCAGGCTATTACCTGGATCTAGTCATAACATAGTAATCTCCCTTTATACAACACAACTTTAGTAGGAATTTAGGTGCAGTTTGAAAATGAAATTTTATTTTTTCAATAGAAAGTTAGTTTCAATTTGATTTGAAATTTCATGTTATATAAGTCTGAGGAGAGTTTTAGAACTTGTTATAGATGCCTTATCGGAAAGGAATTTTAGAATTTGTCATAGATGCCTTATCTGAAGAAATTTTTATTACTTATGTTTACAATATTTGACATTTTATATTAATTTAGGTCATTGGAAACATCTAATTTAGATTATTGCCTTTGCTCTTTTACCTAAAGATAACAAATCTTACAAGATTTTACTGTATTTTTTTTCTAGATTATGTTTTCAGTTCAAAGATACTAAATTAAGTTTACGTAAGGCGTGAATAATTAAGCCTCAGCCTATTGTGAATATCTTTTAAACTGATTATAATGAAATTTTTAACAAAATTCATGTAAACAAAAGTTTCGTCAGTAATAATTAAGCTCTGGAATAGCAATGGATATATTTTAAAAAAAAAAGCTAGTTACGTTTCCTGGTAAGTTATGACAATAAGTTGTGTTGTTTAAAAGTAGTCCTGGTATGCATAGATCTGGTAGAGCCTGCTGCACTTCTCAGGCACTCATATATATTGAAATAATTTGCCATGTTTGTATATACATGTAGTTTTTCAATGTGATCTCTTCAATTTTGTTGTTGCTGCTGATGATATATATTATTGTTTTATACTGACTTTTTTCCTTATCTACTCTGTTAAATGTTTTGAATAATAAAACTAATTCAGAATAATTTATTGACAAGAAACTTACCTTTGTACATGCACTGTGATGCCATTATTCATATTTATATACCTCTTTTATGTGGCATTTGGTTATTTCCTTTAATGTTTTATATCCAATATTTAGTTAACAATGAAAATATAAAAAAAATTCTCTACCATACTCTATATTAATAATTATTGATTATGTGATACTGAAATCTTCTTGACTTGTAATTGAGTATTACATATTCCGACATGAAAAATCCATTGCAAATAATTAACCATAGTTAAATAAGGTTGATAAGAATAAGTTTTAAGTAAAGTATGATCGTTTTTAAACAATGTAATACCCTGTATCCATAGTAACTTAATAAAGTATGGGATCTGAAAAAGAATGTTGCAAACTTCTCATCACTTGCCTCCCATTGTTGTAGGTTTGAATCCTGTCAGGCATTTAGCAATCTTTGCAAGTGAGGAAGTTGTTGTTTGAATCCTGTCAGGCATTTAGCAATCTTTGCAAGTGAGGAAGCTGTTGGGCTAGATTTTAGGGATATTAGTGATACTAACCATGAGCCGTTTTATACCAGAAATAATGCATAGGTGGACTTCCTCAGACAGTATAAGATAGAAAATTGTCACCCTAGGCAGTGTCTGTGGAATTTTTAAACTCAATCAAAAAAAGTTGTCTTTATTTAGACTTTCAACATTCAGGTCTTTTTCTAAAGATGTAATAAAATCTACAAGACAAAGAGCTGAATTAGCCATTTTAATTGAGAGTTATATAAAGTTAATATTTGATCATGCGCATGAATTTTATTTTTGATTTCCTTTTGAAAGTTTTTCTTTCTATTTTTCCTATGAATGTAAAAAATATAAGATTCTACCTTGTTTTAGAGCTATATTTTTATTGTAAATATGTAATATACAATATTATTTATTCTCATTAACTTTATGGTGCTACATTATTAATGTAGTTAATTGGGTTATGTATGTGTTCATTACAACTTTATATTTCATTTGAATACAAGTTTTGCAAGCTTTGTTTTTATTTGTATATCTTTTTCTCTTTTTTTGTGAAAAACAGATGAATGAATAATTTGTATTGAAGAAAAATCAACCCAGATCAAATGAATTTGAAAATTTGTATTTAGAAATTGTTCATCAATGTTTTGGCAAACATTAAAATGTTTAATTCTCTAATTTCATTGATGAATAGTGTAAAAGTATGCCAATAAAATAAATTGTTTATTTCATGATATATAACTTTATTTATTTTTTATATTTTTCACATTTTTTTATCAGATTATCTTTTATATTTTCTTGAATGATTTTTATGAATTTCTTTTTAAGACTTACAAAATTGAAAAGTTTTATTTGATAACAAACTCCCCAAAAGTTTCTGTTTGTACCTTTGGCTAATCAGAGATATATTATTTTAAAAATGCATGAGAATTTGTTCTATATATATTTTTGTTAAAAAAAGATGATTGAATCTTTTTATTATTATTTTTTTTTCAAGAAATCAACATGGATCTAATTTATTTGAAAAATTTGTATTTAGAATTTGTACTTTAATATTTCAAGGAAATATAAGAATTATAAAGTTGTGTTAATTAAAGATTGTAATCATTTTATCCCAAAGGCAGCAGTACATATTTTTAACTAAGTCATCAATAATTGTTCACATTTTCTTATCATTCACTTTATGTTTGAAACATTTTGTTGTTTTCTATGTTATTCTTAATATAAATCATCTTAAAATTTGTGTTTATAATCATGTATCTTAAAGGGGCTCTACTGTGATTTTTGGCATTGCTCTACTGGAAATGATTTTTTGAGATAAATATTCCATTTGATGTTCGTCTAGACCAATAACCTTTGTGCAAAATTTCAGATCATTTGCTCATTCCATTTTATCCAGAATAATTCAAATTGTTAACAATGACCTCAAATTGGACTAAGAAAAGGACAAACACAAGTTTTAATTTCAATTTATTTCCAAGTATATTTGTTAACTATCTTTGTGTATCTGTCTGTTTTAAGTGCCCCAGCTCATTTATGAACGAAATTCAAATTTTATGTTTTTAGACTTTTGACCTCAGTGAAGTCCCTTTAAATATAAAAAACAGCAAATACCATTTTCATGTCTGTGTTTGTCAAAAGTTGAGAAAAAAAACATTATGTTATCATGTTAACTATGACAGGTTGTTCTAAAATCTGTATCTGTAATGATTAATTGATTTTGTCTCTATTATCTAATACATGCCATGCTGTCATAAAAGTATTATTAATTGATGTATATAAAATCAAGTCATTATGGTACACATCAAATATTTGTGCTTTTCTGTGAACAGTTTTTAATATGATATTCTCAATAAAAAGAGAAAAATAAAACCTGAACAAAAAAAACAACAAGTCTTTGTTAACGTTTGATAATGTTTCTGTAGTCTATGTCACATGACATGAGCAGATGAGAAACTTGATGAGAAGCTTGTCAACAAAAAAAGGAGAGAAAAAACAGCTAGGTCAAATGACTTGTAGACAAATGTATCTCTCTTCCTTACCCTTTCCTTATCTTCTTTATGCTTGAACCATTGAACTCTAGTAGATAGGGTCTACATTATAAATATCTGGAGAAAGGGTGATCCTTCAGAAGCATTAAAATCATCAAAATTATCTGAAAATTGCGTTTGATTGAGTCTGTACATGAGGGATAATGAAAAAGTGTAACATCCCTTTCGGTCCTAGCACCGGCTTTAGCGGTACTCCATTTTCAACTTGAATCAATGATCCAGAAGGACCAGAAAAATATAACAACACTGAAGTGATGTACGGGGTAACGGCTGCAGCACATCACTTGATACCGGCTGTTGTGATGTATACATATCTGAAGAAAGGATGAGAACTGCATAAACATTTAACAATGAAAAACTTGTGATGCAAATCACGATTTCCAATGAAATTTATTCATATAAAATAAATTTACAAACTAAAAATAATGTTTTTCCCCAAAGTCCCATGATAGATTTTGAAAGAGTAATATAAAATGTATCAGTTATTTTAGAAGCCATGAATATTTTACTTCAACAGAATAGAATTTTTCGGGACAAAATATTCTGCTATTTTAAGTAGGATTTTATGTTAGGTCAGTTGTTAAGATCTACATGTAAACTTGTTTTTAAAATGCGGTGCCTTCAATTAAAAGATTGGATAAAGAGGCATATTATTTGCTGTGCACGAATACAATAAAAATGCTACATACACGTTCGCATTTTCAAAAGGACCCATCTATATGTCTGGAATTTTAGCAACGAACGCCCTCCATAGGATTTTTACCATTTAATGCACATGCACCATTTCATTCGCTCAAAAGAAAATATTCGAACCCTTTTCTTTTATATACATAGTTATTTTGTAAATATCCTTTTCCAAAATTCAATGACTTTGTTTTCAACAGGCATCATATATGTAGCTTAATATACTTAAAGTTTAAAACAATCTAGATTAAACGACAATTAAACTCTTAAAAGTGATGAAACAATATTTTATCGGCATTAAATGTTATAACATTCATTGCCTTAACAAAACACATATTACACAATCATATAAAGGGCAAGCTCATGGTAAACAAAGAATCAATAGTATTTTGTAAAAATATTTCTAACATTTCAATATTTTCTGTAATAAGCGTACATTAATATTAGATTTCTTTTGTTAGACATATATTTAAACAATATTCAAGTCTGAAATTTATTGCAAATGATAAGTTTTATAAATCAATTCACTAACATTATAAGTACATTGTAGTTTTAACACAGAGTCTAAAGTCACAATTGTAATAATTTGTTAGACATATTTTTAAACAATATTCAAGTCTGAAATTTATTACTAATGATCGATAAGTTTTATAAATCAATTTACTTACATTAAAAGTACATTGTAGTTTTAACACAGAGTCTTAAGTCACAATTGTAATAAACTTTTGCTTTATATGCCAATGACAAAAATAAGGGCTAAAATAGTGCTTTTTTTTGTAAATTATTGTATTTTTCGGCACATAATGAGAAAAATGTACTCATTTTCCATTACATTCATATTGCATTTTGAACATACTCGATCGTTTCTTTGGGTCATTATGTGTCTTCTTTGTTCAATCATTTAATGAGACGAATTTGTTATTTTGTATTACATCTAGGTATCGTCCTAATGATAATTCATTCTTACACCAGCTATATGTTGCACCAGCTATACTTGACAGTAATCTCTTTTACGTTCTTATTTTTCGTCAGCAAAAATCAACCAATATAATTTGACGTCATTTATGCCATATGTAAAAGGATGTCATTTACAAAAAAAAAACAACATCAGGCTGAAAATTGAATCTCCGTTTAACCCAAATATTTGACGTAAAAAACGGGAGTGCTTAGGCAAGCTTTCACTGCATTATACGAAGCTCTTATAGAATTCAAAATTCTCTGTAATTAACTTACGAAATAAATGAGATCTTGGAATTTCATCAAAACATTTTTCAAAATAATAATAAAAAAAACAACAATTTAATGTTGAAGACAATGTTTTAGGGATCATTGAGTGTAGAATGTAAATAATAAATTGATGATTTACTTGCCTCTCAAAATGTCTGAAAAGGTTCCAGACAGACTTGCGTGATTGATTATAACTTTACATCTAATTGGATAGAAAAATGACGACCAACTGTGTGACGAAAAAAAATACTCATGAAAATCTTATCCAGGCGAACGGGAAAATTTTTTGACAGTATAGAGAATATGTGATTTTGAGACATTTGAGTAATTATAGTAAAAGATAATTAATCACACCAAGTTAAGGCCAAAGTACAGTCATGCTGCAGTCTACTATTTGTGTTAGACATTTTCATTTTATGCAGCTATAAACTTCGGATCATATTTTCAATTTTAATTAGCGTCTCTTTTTTTTTTAATTTCCAAATGGAACAATAACCTGCCAATACCCTCTCGAGTTCATGCCGCGTGCCCTTATGTGCGAATTTACAACCAAGCGTCATATCGATAAGAAATAATGTCAACTGTAAATTAAAACATTCTGTTCGATTCAAAATTTATATGTTTAGGTAAAAATACTCCTTTATCTTTATTTCATTTCAGTGTGTATTGATGAGGTATCTGATAAAGCTGGGTGTCACTGATAAAGCTAAATTTATCAGGTATGCAGTTTACCAAGAGAGATCAATGTAATGAGATCATAAAAACATTGAGATAAAATGAAAAAACGAAATAGTTTTATAACCGATTACTTCAAATTTCGTTACCACTATGTTATGATTATAGAATGAATTTATGTTCAAGAAATATGTTCCCTAACTAGAGAGTTTAGCAGCTTTTTTCACGATTACAAGATTGACAGTGGATACTATTTCATATCACAACTTCATTTGTTTCAGAGTCTATTGATCTTTTTTGCTAGTAGAACACAAATATGAAGTCTTGCAGCATTGTTTCTTTTCCTCAGATTTAATGATCGTAAATAACATTCTAAAGCTGCTCTAGCTCGACCTTCTTGTTCCAAACACTTTCCTAATAGATTAAAAGCTGTTTCCAGGTGACCAATATTTCGTTCCTGGTCCATAGTTCTAGCAAGGTTGAACAAAGCTCTTTGTTTATCTTTTTCTTTTTCCAGACGGCTGTAAGTCTTGAACTGAAGGAAATATAGAAAAGGGAGGGAATCAATAACAGCAAAGTCCATCCAAATGGCATCTGATTCTCTATTAACTTTTTCTTCTTTTGTTGATCTAAACAGTTCATATTTTAATTCATATGGAACGCAGTTCATTTCACAGCGAAAGAATCGGACACAGGACGCTGTAGTAAGCTGTCTAGCATCTTCTAAGTTAAATTTATCAGATTTTTGAAAGAAACCCCTTCTTTTCAGTTTTTGAGTATTACCGTTACAGGAACAAAAAGGCTTGACAACGTTAAGGTCATACACTGCTTCAGTTTGATTCAGGACAGTTTCTGTTCTTTGAATGTTTCCGACACAGTAAAATATGGAAGCTTGTTTCAGTTTAGGAGATGCAACATCTGCATAAAGACCAAGCCCCATCCAATATTGAGCATCGTCTGATATAATGTTGTTTTGTTGAATGCTTTGGGAAGCTAGAACAGATCCCAGAATTGAACACAAATGAGTAATAATAAGTTTGCACGCCTTTTTCTGCATTACTTGACATGTATAGAATATATTCCTCAATCTGAAAATGTAATTAACTAACTTCTTTTTGACTACTTTGTGACTCCAATTACTTAAATCAAGTGAGCTATCTTTTATCACAGTATTGATTGTTGCATTGATTGTTACAGCAGTGAGGCAGAGGAGATAGCCAGATGTTATTTCAGTCATCTTTTGTGGTGATAGATAATTCATTTTTAACATTAGTCTTTCACCGAAAGAATTACATTTTATTTCCAATAATAATTTGCCATTACTATTTATAAAATCATGAATTAGTGCAAGCATAAATTGTTTGCATCCTGATGTAATCTTTCCCTTTAATAAATTGTTACGTTTTATAAAAAAATGTGGACACTTTTCATCCGAAACAAATTTGTACAGCCATAACAGATATTTGCAAAAACAGGTAATCAAATTGTTTTCTCTCCAGATGCTAGCTGGCGTGTTTGTTATGCAGTGAAAAAGAACTGTTTTACAGATGTAAGTTGAAATTGTGTCATACTTTGGTTTGATGAACGTCTTCAGTATCATCTTCATTAATACAAAACATCTGATTTGTGATATGTTCATATTAAACACCATACAACGCTCAGAAAGAGATGTTGATATTCTCCATTCAAGCTCTTTTGTAGCACTGTCCGTGCTACCAACGGGAACAACAAAACATCCTGTGCTCTTGCAATACCTCTTCATCTCGAATGAGGGCCATTGAGCTTGACCTCGATAAATATCATGATTCTGTAACCATTGTTTAGCTTGTTGAGGCCAAGATTTACAACGGAAAGCTCCAACACGATCAACATCACAAAACCCAACACGGTCCATTTCTGCGAATGCTGGACCATGCTGAACACTTCCTTCACGTAAACCAGCAATTCGTTTTAACACATATGTGTTTTTCAGCAGAAGTCTTCCCAATCTGTCTATGAAAAAATGATCACTATAATTACAATCATATTGAAAAGGAGCGTACTTCCCCAAGCACTGAATCAAACAATATCCAGGAGAAACCGTCTCATCCTGTATCATCAATAAATTCGGTACATCTGGTTGTTGCAACTCATTTAAGTTTTGTATAACATTAAACTCCGAAAAACAAATAAGTTTATCAATGTCAGAGTTAAGTCCATTTGTAGTGGTTCCTTCAGACTGACTGCCAAATATGTAATGTAAATTTTCATTTTCATCGTTCAGATTTATTAGTGTTTGCATGCATTCTTGTAACAAAAACATGTTTCGTCTCTTTAACACCATTTTCTCGTTCACGCATATGTCATCAAAAACTTCAGACAATCTCATTGATACAGTCCTTGTGAAATCCGATTCAAAAAGCATTCTGAAAAGACAAAAGAGGATTGTTCTCATGTAAATACTTTTGCTTCTTAAAAAACTATTTCAATGTGTTTTACTTAACTGATCTAAATAATTAATGGGCTAGACTGTCGACGCTCAACCCACATGAAGTCAAAATGTTCAGTCAAAAATTAACTTATATCAAGATTTTCATTTAATACAATTTATCTTTCATTTAATACAATTTATCTTGGTCAATATTAATAAGTGAAAAGAAAATTCTAATTTTCATAATAAATTAACATTTTAAATGTATACATGTATTATGTATAAAATAATCCTTTTGAGCTAGAAAAATAACCATACCTTATAATGTGTTTATCCGAAACTGAAACACTTAAAGACTCCTTTTTCTCTGTTTAAACAAGACTAAAGGTAAGATAACGATTACTTTAAATACTTGTTTTTCAAACAATAATTTAAAAAGACGCAATATAAAAAGTTATACCCCGGTCACATATTCACGGAAAACGCCCACGGAAGAGCCACGGATTAATTCCGGCATCGTCCGTAGCTACCCGTAATGGTCAGTAGCTCTCCGTATTGTAACCGTAATCAATCGTAGTAGTCCTTGTATATCCGTAGCGATCCTTGACAATTTTTGAACATGCACAAAAATTTACTACGGAAAAATCAACCGTAGCGTATCCTACTAGTCCGTATTAATCCGTACTGATACGTACTGGTCCGTACGAAAACCGTATTAGTCCGTACTGATTCGTAGTCCACCAACTTGTCAAGGATTTCCACGGTTTGGTACGGAGAACTACGTATTTGTACGGTTACCCTACGTATAAGCTACGGTTTTAATACGGATTAATACGGCATTGTCACGGAAAGCCACCATCGTAATACGTTGTACTACGGAGAGGCAAGGATTAGCACGGTCTTATACGGTTTATTGCGTTGCAACACGGAATGGTACGGTCCACCACTGTTTAGAACGGATAAATTAAGTATCATGTACTTTTTCAAGGGTATATATATTACCTTCTTGTTAATAACAGACATATTTGCGGGAACATTTAATAAATGATAATTGCCATTTACTGGCTGCAACTTTATATTGAAATGGCTCAGAATGCGGAGGCAGTGGTCGAGCTGCTTGATGACATGCATAGAAGTAAATTTATATTAATATCGTTCTACAATTCATAAGTAATAGAATAACATTTAATGCTACATATTTTACAAACACTGGATCGTGAAATTGGAGTAAGTATGTACATAAAACGAAGTGTCTCATAAGCCTCGGACGCTGGCCCTGATAATAAGTTTAATTAACACGCTTTTTACATATTTTTAAAACATAAACATCACGATAATTAATGTAATTGTAAGATGAACAGCAAATCTTAAAATTAAAAGAGAAGCAGTATTGATCAACATTTTTCATTAATGATAACTAGTCCATATCTAATCAGGTAAGAGCGAGATGGTGGACTAGGGATGGGCTTTTACGAAGACCGCTTTATGTTTAGTATGAGGCTCTCATGGCCGAACTTGTTGAGGATCCAGCGTCCTTTAAGAAATTCACTTTAATTGGACCTGATGTGTCTCGGGGGTCGGACGCGATTAGGCTGAATCCTCCCCGCTAAAATCATTGAACTCTGCAAATCGTTTTCTAGGTGTTCTTTTCTTTTGAGGCATTTTGAAAATAAGCAAGCAAGAGGTTGTGGACGGATGAATTAGGTCCGTATAGATCCGTGGCAATTCGTTCTTCTCCGTATCAATACGTTCTTCTCCGTATCAGACCGTACTTATTCGTACTAACCCGTGCTTATACCGTAGCAGACCGTAGTGTATCCGTAGTGCGTCCGTCCTGATTCGTGTCACTCCGTATCAAACCGTGTCGGTCCGTCACAATCCGTGTCTCTCCGGGGGCTTTTGGTGGTAAATCCGTCGGACTCCGTACTCATACCGTTGTGTGTCCGTACTGGAACCGTAGCGGACCACGGAATTTCACATTTCCGTAGTGATCCGTGAGCGATTAGACCGTAGCTCTTCCGTGGCATTATCCGTGAATATGTGACCGGGGCATTAAATAGACATTTTTGAGTTGTTAAGTTGGCAGATTGTAACATCACGTGGTCTGTGGTATGGTAATTAATCACAGATAATGGCTGCGTATGTTATCTTGTTTTTTTTTGCCGATCTTACTTCAATTTCTTAAATTTAATGTAGGTACTTAATTACAAAATGTTATATTAGGGGGTTGCCAGAAGGGGGATGTGCCCCCTTCTGTTTGGGGCTTTGAAGGGGGGCGGTAGTCCCCCTCATTGCCAAGAAAGTTTTGGACATGTGACAGGCTAAAAATGGCCTCAGGTCGATCTTAGGGTAACTAGTAACCGACGCTAAAAAGCCTTTAACTCTATCTCAATTCATTGAGAAGTTGCAGCACTTTGAAATCAGTTTTGATGGAAAAAACAATGCAAAATATTGATTTTTGGCAATTTTGAGAAGTCCCTCCGTTGCCATAGAAACAGGAAATTTACGATTGAGCATGCTGTTACAGAGGCTATGGTCTAGTCAACATTTGTGCCAAGTTTCATCAGCATTGAAGCATTTTTCATAGTTTCATAGCAGTTTAATTAGCACAAGTAGTACATTATGAGTTATGAAAAATTAGTGCTCGCCATTTTTTTTAAGCCAATCACCGACGAGGATTTTTCAAATTTTCAGGTTTCAAATCTTAATAGAACAGATTTTATATAAACTGGACGTTTTATATTATAAAACGCAAGTGGGCGGAGCTAAGTTTCGAAGAGCGCTGAAGTGCAGAGATCTTGAAGTTTACTCCTCCTACTAATCAATATTTATGCATCATGTTTTTTCCGTACACGCACATGTATATCGCACATGTTTACTGCTTACCAACCCTATTACAAGTAGAGAAACTGACAGCGAACAGCATGGATCCTGATCAGACTGCGTGGATGCGCAGGCTGGTCTGGATCCATGCTGGTCGCAAACGCATTATGTAGGTTTTGTCGTGACGCGGCTCATATAATTATCAAATCTGTAAATAAATAACAAACTTGTGAATTTCAATAATTTGACCTTCACAATAAAGGTCAAGGTCATTTTTTTAATTATTCAACAAAATGGGTTTTATGGACCTTTCCGGTTTTTCGTAGCGAAACATTTAGCCACACCTTTTCCATTCATTGCTAGGTCAACTGCTCACAAACAGTATCACAAACATAAGCACGTGCTCTTTTGTGCAAACCAGGTCAACCAGTGACTATGTATTATCACAGTGTAGCGATTGGATAACGAGTTAGTCAATTTACATAAAACTGTAAACACCGGAAAGGTCCATTAACAGGGACCTATTGTTCAAGTCTAAATCAAATCTGTAAATAAATAACAAAGTTATGACAATCTATGTCTTTTATAAATGAATCAAAATGTTCAGGATAATGTCATTTTAATATTTTTGTAATGAAGTTGTTAATCAATATGCTATGTCTTTTATAAATGAATTGGTGTTAAGGATGACATCATTTTGCAATTTTGAATGAAGTTGTTAAACCACATGCTATATGAATTGATGTTTAATTAAGATGACTTAATTTTACATTATGATGAATTTGTAAATCCATATGCTACGCCTTTTATAACTGAATTGATGTTTATGATGAAGTCATTTTTACATTATAAATGTTGTAATTCCATAAGCTACATATTTTATAAATAAATTGTGCCATTATGAATGAAGATGTAACTCCATAATTTATGCCAAGTCTTTTTTAAATGAATTGCTTTTAAAGATACATGTCATGTCCCATAGAGCAACATGTAATTTCTTTAAATGTTTTCAAAGAAATAATTAACAAGAGCTGTCGGTAGGACAGCAACGCTCGACTATTCTTAGTGCTTGATAGTAAAAAAAATGCTTGATAGAGTTACCTCCTCCTGTTTACAGGTTGGGGTCATGATGGTGAACAAGTGTGCAAAGTTTCAAAGCCATATGTCAATGGACTTTGAAAATATTTGAACTATTACAAAAACTTAAACGTAAATTCTAAGTCGAAAAAGGGGCATAATTCTGTCAAAATGCTTGATAGAGTTACCTCCTCCTGTTTACAAGTTGGGGTCATGATGGTGAACAAGTGTGCAAAGTTTCAAAGCCATATGTCAATGGACTTTGAAAATATTTGAACTATTACAAAAACTTTAACGTAAATTCTAAGTCAAAAAAAAGTGCATAATTCTGTCAAAATGCTTGATAGAGTTACCTCCTCCTGTTTACAGGTTGGGGTCATGATGGTGAACAAGTGTGCAAAGTTTCAAAGCCATATGTCAATGGACTTTGAAAATATTTGAACTATTACAAAAACTTTAACGTAAATTCTAAGTCGAAAAAGGGGCATAATTCTGTCAAAATGCTTGATAGAGTTACATCCTCCTGTGTACAGGTTGGGGTCATGATGGTGAACAAGTGTGCAAAGTTTCAAAGCCATATGTCAATAGACTTTGAGAATATTTGAGGTATTACAAAAACTTTAACGTCAATTTTGGGTCAAAAAAGGGGCATTATTTTGTCAAAATGCTTGATAGAGTTACATCCTCCCGTCTACAGGTGGGGTCATGATGGTGAACAAGTGTGCAAAGATTCAAAGCCAAATGTCAATGGACTTTGAGAATATTTGAGGTATTAAAAAAACTTTAACGTAAATTCTAAGTCAAAAAGGGGCATTTTTCTGTCAAAATGATTGATAATAGAGTTACATCCTCCTGTTTACAAGTTGGGGTCATGATGGTGAACAAGTGTGCAAAGTTTCAAAGCCATATGTCAATGGACTTTGAAAATATTTGAACTATTACAAAAACTTTAACGTAAATTCTAAGTCAAAAAAAGTGCATAATTCTGTCAAAATGCTTGATAGAGTTACCTCCTCCTGTTTACAGGTTGGGGTCATGATGGTGAACAAGTGTGCAAAGTTTCAAAGCCATATGTCAATGGACTTTGAAAATATTTGAACTATTACAAAAACTTTAACGTAAATTCTAAGTCGAAAAAGGGGCATAATTCTGTCAAAATGCTTGATAGAGTTACCTCCTCCTGTTTCCAGGTTGGGGTCATGATGGTGAACAAGTGTGTAAAGTTTCAAAGCCATATGTCAATGGACTTTGAAAATATTTGAACTATTACAAAAACTTTAACGTAAATTCTAAGTCAAAAAAGGGGCATAATTCTGTCAAAATGCTTGATAGAGTTACCTCCTCCTGTTTACAGGTTGGGGTCATGATGGTGAACAAGTGTGCAAAGTTTCAAAGCCATATGTCAATGGACTTTGAAAATATTTGAACTATTACAAAAACTTTAACGTAAATTCTAAGTCGAAAAAGGGGCATAATTCTGTCAAAATGCTTGATAGAGTTACCTCCTCCTGTCTACAGGTTGGGGTCATGATGGTGAACAAGTGTGCAAAGTTTCAAAGCCATATGTCTATTGACTTTGAAAATATTTGAACTATTACAAAAACTTTAACATAAGTGGTTACGCCGACGCGGACGCCGACGCTCGGGTGACTGCAATAGCTCTACTTATTCTTATCGAATAGTCGAGCTAAAAATTGAAAGAACATTTCTAAAGTAAATTTAAATTTTACATAATTATATGAAACATCTTTACATAAATAAATGCAGTATATCCTCCACATCCTCATAAAATCGGGTTAAAGCAGAACTCGACACTTGTTATCATGACATCTTATCAATTGCCTTAAATGTGTCAAAATGTGCAAATAATTAAGGCATTGCTTTGTAAGTGAAATGCTTTATACATGTAGTGTTATAATACTGCATGTTTGTAACGTTGCTTTTCATTGGACAAATGCTTTTTTTTTTAATTAAACTATATACACAACTTCAGAATTTTAGGAAGTATGTTTTTCTAGTAAACAAATAGTGCTATATTATAAATTCATTATAAAGAATGTTGACAGATTATATGGCTAACTTATATATGCAAACAATATCATATTTGAACAAATGTATATATATATTGTTTGTTTGTTTTACGTCGCACCAATACAGAAAATGTCATATGGTGATTTTCCAGCTTTCCTGGTGAAGTAAGATGTTGAGTGCCCTTCCATGCATTACTTCATGTGCTAATGACCACTTGAGAACCACCAACTTTGAATTGCATATGAGCCGCGTCACAACAAAACCAGCATAGTGCATTTGCGACCAGCATAGATCCAGACCAGCCTGTGCATCCGCGCAGACGGATCAGGATCCACGCTGTTCGCTATCAGTTTCTCTACTTGTGAAAGGGTTAGTAAGCGAACAGCATGGATCCTGATCAGACTGCACGGATGCACAGGCTGGTCTGGATCCATGCTGGTAGCAAACGCACTATGTTGGTTTTGTCGTGACGCGGCTCATATATCTTTGGTCATCTGGAAGATAGTTGTTGTTACCACAATCTACCTGAACAAGGTTGGCTTATGACAAAATATGAATGATAGTACCTTTTGAAATAATATTTTCATTTAAGGCTACTGTACAATCTTCTAGGTGAGTCAACAAAATTTCAAAGTAAGCTAAAACAAATGTTCAAGTATCCATAATGAATAAGATATGACAGCATTTACTATCTTTATCACTTTATTTCAAAGAGGGCCATCGTTTATTTATTGGCTTTTTTGTGTTTCTTTTTTCTTTTTTGGTGGGTATTTTTTGTAGGAGAGAAAATGTATAAGTACAATTCAAATCACTTTATCTATATATGTGAAAAGTTTTGGCATTTTGGAATCTTTCTTAAAGTTTCATAAAAATTGCACAAAATCTGAAGCCAAACAACCTCGGTGATGCAGTGCCTTCAATATTGTTTTAGACATAATTATTATGCAAGATTTATAAACAAAGAAACAATTGAAGATTCAAATTCTTTTAATAACAAAAAATAGTAATACAAAATAAATAAACAAAAATACTAAATAATAACATTAACAGAACTGACTATCAAATAAGAAGGGGATAAGATCTGTATAGTAAAAGAGATTCCATCACCCACAACAACTAAAACATTTTGGAATATGAGCCGCGTCACGACAAAACCAACATAGTGCATTTGCGGACAGCATGGATCCTGATCAGACTGCGTGGATGCGCAGGCTGGTCTGGATCCATGCTGGTCGTAAACACACTATGTTGGTTTTGTTGTGACGCGGCTCATATATCTTATCATTTTAAAAAAATAGCAAAAAATTTTTTTTGTCAAAAAAATATGTAACCCTGTTACTTAAAGCAAACATTTAACAAAAATCATTTATCATTCATAAAAAATAAAAAAAAAACATTTGTAAATCTTAATCGTAAATAAAATAATAACAATTCTGAACAAGCTTATCATATTTATAAACTATCAAACATCTAGGTTTATCTTAAGAAATATAAAAATGCCCTTTAAAAAATAACATGTAACAACATTCAACTTCACCCTTCCTTGTTGAACAATTCCATTTTGAACTATAACAGTATTCAGGATACTCTTTAACCTTTTGAATACAACAATATCCTGATGAGGTATCAACAAGAAACCCAACAGTACCAACAATTATACGAAATTTTTTTAATCATATTAATCCGAAACCTACCCTTGAACCGAAATTGATCAGCCTTCGCCACCACTAAACTGCCGTGCCAATCTGCAAATCCATGCAGTATGACAGACTCTACTCTATTGGCTGACAAACTTGACATCCTTCAAATTAATATGGACAGTTCCAAAAATAAAAGGTGGTCAAGTCCATTTAAGAAATGGTCAGCAAGTTAATGGTTAAAATTGTCTTCAAACACATGATACATGAGATAAACTGGCCTATAAGCTTCTTTGATATATAAAACTATTATATTTTAAAATATTTAATAATCTAATATATAACAATGGTAATTATTTATCACAATATTGTACAAACACGACACTGATGTACATGAACTTCTTCTACCGGTCTCGGTGCTGCCCTCTGGACAGTCACAGTTTCAGCCACATCCTGTCCATAAACTCTGCGTAAGTTGAAGGCTGAATTTAACGAGCTTCTCGTTGCTAGACTATATCGATCACCACCATCCAGAACGGAATAGTTCGAACTCATGATATCGTGGTCTAAATACTGACTTTTACTCTCGATTTCTGTGTCCGTGTCTGTACATCGTGAAAGATCGGGGGTAGCGTGTAGACTGATTCGCTGTACAATCTCTTTATATTTGTCGTTCTTATCTGCATGTATTCCAGTTCCTCCGTGGCCTCCTATACCTAATAAAGGATAAACAGTTGACTGATTTTGCATCATTAAGTAATGTATCATTAAGTAATGTATCTATGTCTTGTTATCTCAATTACCCACAATCTTTTTCCAAGAAAAATCATTCTGAGCAAAAAAAAATTATGATAATGTGTAGGTAGGAATATCTTTATTATAACACAGACATACTTTAACATTTCTTTTCAAATTGAAAAAGCAAGAGTAGTTCAAAACGTCATAATTTTATATTGTGTTCCATACAGAAGCAAAATGCACTAAATAAGTTAAGAGGGATAACTTGTCGCCTTATTTTATATGGCATGGGCTTGAATAACACTTAAGCCAGTGCTAGGGAGTGAGAGATGATGCACTTTACGTTATCTCTCCTGAACAGAAACAATAAAATTGTCAACTATTTGTTTTTGTTTTCACCACTCTTGAGGGATCTTCCCTTTCCAGTTACTTACCTTTTAAGTTTATGTAGACAAGCTGGCTAAAAATGAGGGCCATGCCCCCTGGTGGTGGCCACACAGTTTTATCTATCATGACAGGGATGATTGGTTTACGGAGCAGGTCAGCTAGACTAAGTTCCTTCATACAGTGAGATGATACCACATATTTCGGACTGACACATGATATCACAACCTGTTGACAAATCAAACCACACATCAATCTTAACCAAATTCTCTTTATTAATTTAAAGTTTGCATATTTAAAAAGAAATCATCTTTATAAATTAAAATATTTGCCACAAAATGCTTATAGAATGCATGCAGCCTGTCAGTGAATATTGGCTCCTTTGAAAACAATATTTTATATCCTGCTTAATCTAGATTTTATCTTAAGAAGCATTGCTAAATGAAGTGGTTCTGAGAAAAAAATATAAAATAAATCACAATATTTGTTTATTAATCTGTATTCCAACAAGAATCACAAAGCTACAGCTCATTTCAAAAAGTTTTGTCTCTATTTCTACAATAATTTTAAAATGTTATACTTTGAATCAACCAAATACAAAAATTTAATTCCTTAAAGGAATTTAAACATTACAAAATTAAACATTTTTTGTACAATATTTTAAGAAGAAATTTTGATTGGCCACTTAAAAGTGTATATCAGAAAACATGTATATTTGAAAGTATTGTATGATATATGGAACAATGAACTTACTCTGCATTGTCTGACAGCTTCATCTATACGGTTGTAAAGCTGATCTCCTCCTCCAAGTTGACCTATATCCATCCAACATGTGAAACCCGAGCGTTCTAGCCGGTCCCTTAGCTGCTTAACCTCATCCTGGCTATCCCACTGGTAACTGATGAATATCTGGGCAGGTTCATGGTCCAAATCTGTAAAAATTGTTCATATAAATAAAATTTATATAATGGAGGTTCATGGTCCAAATCTGCAAAAATAATCCATATAAATTTATACAAGGGAGGAGGTTCATGGTAAAATTCTGGAAAAAAAGTTAAATTTTTATAATTATTATTAAAGATAGGTTCATGGTACAAATCTGAAAAAAGATCATATAAATCAACATTAGCAGGAGGTTATTGTTGCAAATCTGTAAAATAGAAAATATAAATTTATATTTGAGATATTCATAGTCAAAATCTGTTTTGTTTGTTTGTTTCATTTTACGCCTTTTCCCAATAGTATTTCAGTCATATAGGCGGGTAGTTTCCTAACCATCGTTCCTGGAGAGTTACACCAGTACTAGACTACCTTCCTCCACACTTAACCACAGACACTTGGGGTGTGGAGCTCAAAACGCCTAAAAAATCCAAATAAAATGCATATTTGTCAATCCCAGCACATGTCCAGTACTGATCATATATATAAAAAAAATTTTAATATAAGCCGTTTTGAAAAAATTTCATATTTCAACGTCTATAATGTATTGAAATATCAAAGCATCTCCCAGGGATCGAACCCATGCCAGAGAGGTAACTGGATTAGAAGTCATCGACTCTAACCCCTCGACCACAGAGGCAGTATGTAAAATAGTTCATATAAATTAATATTAAAGAGGTTCAGGGTCCAAATCTGTAAAATCGTTCATTTTCCTGCCTGTAAATTTCATTGAGGGCTTTAATTAGTTCTACTAGCAGTATAATCACCCCATAAGTTTCAAGATAAGAGGAATAACAAAGTGGATACATTTTTCATTAACCCAGTTTCAATAATATTTAATATCTTTGAATCAGCAATCAATTTTTATTTGTTAAATTGACCAGGCAACAGGATGTGACAGTACAGATTACATAGATATACTTTTTTGCAGCTGTCATTCATAAGTTGTAATAAACTCACATCACATTACATTGAAAGTATTCTATAAACAGTCAAAAAGATAGAACTAGATAAAATTAGTTCAGTTAAATTTAGTTTTAGACTGGCCTTAAGTTACCTTGAGCTTTTTGTATAATATCTACAACATCATCTCTGTCTATCTTCTCTAAGTAGACTGTGAGCATATCTACAGATAAACCAGTGTTACCACTGCTGATAATCCAGTCAGTTAATAGAACCAGTCCAGGATTAAGGTCATCATTAAACTTGTTCACCTGATTCTGCTTGTAACCTGTATAAATACATAGAAAACATATAAATAATACAGTTTTTATATAATTATCTTGTAATTGCAAAAATGCATTAGAAAATTCAATATTTACAACTGTTGTTTGAATTTAATCTCCTTAAAAGATAAAGACAAGGAAGTAAACCTCTGTCCCGTTTTCTAATGCCAAAATACACCTTTAAAGATGATTGGTCCACCTTGAGCACATATTCCACAAGTGTATCAAATATTGACAAAAACAATGCAAAACATTTGGATATTATTATATAACATTTCTTGAAAAACAAGAGGGCCATGATGGCCCTGAGGTCGCTCACCTGTATATAGGCCCCCGGAGCGGGGCCAGTTTAAACCCCAGGGCTTTTATTTGAACAAACTTGGAAGACACCCATTAGAAAGATGTTTCATGATGTTAAGTTTTTTGACTACACACATATAATGAAAAACAATGACCTCCGCCCCCCCCCCCCCCACCCTTTGGCAGGGCCAATTTTAACCCAAGGGCTTTTATTTGAACAAACTTGGTAGACAGCAACAAAAAGATGTTTCCTGCTGAATATCTAACCTCTAACTCATTGGGTTTTTTAAAAGAAGATTTTTTAAGTTTTTACTATACACATATAGTTATAAACAATGACACCTCTGGGGCATAGCCAGTTTTAACCCCAGGGCTCTTATTTGAACAAACTTTGTAGACAATTACTAGAAGATGTTTCATGCTTAATATCTAAACTCTAGCTATTTGGGTTTTTTCAAAGAAGATTTTTAAGGTTTTGCCATACATATATAAGGAAAATCAATGACCCCCAGGGCGGGGCCAATTTTGACCCCAGGGCTTTTATTTGAACAAACTTTGTAGACACTCACTAGAAGATGTTTCATGCTTAATATCTAAACTCTTGCTATTTGGGTTTTTTCAAAGAAGATTTTTTAAGTTTTTGCTATACACATATAAGGAAAATCAATGACCCCCAGGGCGGGGCCAATTTTGACCCCAGGGCTTTTATTTGAACAAACTTTGTAGACACCCATTAGAACATGTTTCATGCTAAATATCTTAGCTCTAGCTCTTTGGGTTCCTTAAAAGAAGATTTTTTAAGTTTTTACTATATGCATATAGGGAAAATCAATGACCCCCTGGGGCGGGGCCAATTTTGACCCTAGGGCTTTTATTTGAACAAACTTGGTAGACACTTATTAGAAGATGTTTCATGCTAAATATCTTAGCTCTAGCTCTATGGGTTCTTTAAAAGAAGATTTTTTAAGTTTTTACTATATGCATTTAGGGAAAATCAATGACCCCCTGGGGCGGGGCCAATTTTGACCCCAGGGCTTTTATTTGAACAAACTTGGTAGACACTCACTAGAAAATGTTTCATGCCAAATATCTAAGCTCTAGCTCTTTGGGTTTTTTAAAAGAAGATATTTAAAGTTTTTTTCTTTCGGTTGCCATGGCAACCAGAGTTCTGCATGGAATTAAATTCTTTGAACAATTTTTAAAGGTGACCACCAAAGGAACATTCCTGTGAAGTTTGGATGAAATTGGCTTAGTGGTTTATGAGGAGATGTCATTTAAAGTAAAAGTTTACGGACGGACGACGGACGGACGCCGGACGAAAAGTGATCACAAAAGCTCACCCTGTCACTTTTTGACAGGTGAGCTAAAAATGGTGAATAGAGTTTTAAGTGATTTAATTGAACATTTACATCAAGACAAAAATATTTTGTTCTAGAACAATTTATTATCTGCTTTATCTAACTTTGAAATACCTAATTCTTTAGCAAGAGTGTTCCAGTCTTTTCCTGGTTCCCCAGAATTGAGAAGTTTGGCAGCACTTTTCACCCAGTTTGGCAATGTAGGACAATGTTTCTCTATGTTACCACAGGTATCTGTTAGTGACACAGCTGGCAAGACAGGACCATTAAAGCCTACACAAACATACATTCAGAATCATATCATATACAAATATTAATAGATAAATAACAACAACAAAATGATAAGAAATATTCTTTGCGATTTATGAAAAGTATGACATTACTTCTTATTAGCCAGTACAAGTTACAATCAATTGATATAGTGTAAGATATACTTATATATACATGAATATGTATATATCTTTAAGTGAGGGAGCAGAGTTTTTTCAACTATGTCAAACAAACACTTTCACTGATTAAGGTAGATCACAAACTATCTTTCTTCTTTAATCTGCTTATACCTATACAACCAGTGCACACCAAGATCAGCCTGATAATGGTCTGCACTGTTCATTATTTAGTTAGCACACATTTTGAAATTTTCCCCAAAATGATGAATGGTTTTGTCTAGATTGAAAGATGGACTAGTCCATTTCAGATATTTAGAGTGGTAAGGTTTCAGCTAACATGACATCTTCATCACTTATAATACTGACTTTTAATTGTTATGCTAACAAACTCTTAAATAAAGACAAATTTGTTTATTAACAAATTTCTTAATTCATTTTAGTTACATAAATGGTCACAAAAAATCACTTTACATGGCTTAATAACTAAGCAATTAAATAGATCAGAAAAGTGGTTACCTAATGACAATGGTTCCGGGAAGCATTTCTTTATAGTTCCAGTTTTGATTCTTCTATGGTCACACATAACAACCTAAAAATGAAAATAAAGAACACATAAAAAATTTTCTGTTCTAAGTCCTAATAGCAAAATTGTATCTTTTGGCTGAACAATAACTTGTTACTTGTTTTTTCCAAAGAAATAACAAAAGGCTGATACCAGAAGAGTATGAATGTCCTACCTAAAAAATTGTGGCAGTACAGGACAATTTCTGCATCTCATATGTTTATAAATACTTAATGTAAAGTAATTTGAAATTAGCCGCATTATACTGCTTCATTTTCCTTATATCTAATTTTGTATGTTTGTTTTTCTACATTTTACCCTGATTTCAACACATTTGTTTGGTCAAATCTCAGCATTTGATCTATCTAACCAACTTTCATGGATGACTATCCAGTAATTACTAATTTCTCTGCAACTGACTGATTACTAATCCCACATGGTAACTGAATCAGAAGTCGGTGACAAATGATTATTAGCCACAATGTCCCAGGACAATTTTCGCAGAGAAATTTTGTCTTGCCACAGAATTGGACCAGAGAGCCTAAGATTTTTAATCAGATGCACTCCCTATTGAGCTAAGTAGTTTTAATTGAAAATAGATTTGAATAACATCCTTATATGTAAAAAAATAATTATCTCTGATATTGCACTTACCTTATTTGCTATACATTCATCAAGATTTAAGAAATGGAGGCAAGATTCCTGGGAACATCCTTCAGTTTTGTGGGTCTCACACACTCTCACGCAAGGACAACTTACACACACAGTGTGCGATATTCTCTTCATCCACATCTCGCGTAACTCACATAGACTAGACTCCAGAAAATTCCGAACCTGGAAAAAATTATTAACAGTTTTTCTTATATAAACCATTTAAAACATTAAAATACTTGCTAGAACATTTGATCTCTTAGCACATTTAGAAGAAACATTTTATAAACATGTACTTTAATTTCTTTTGACAAAAAAGAAATTTATAAAGTTAAATGGTAAATAACATAAACTGATTCTATAATATCTTTCTGCATTTTTCAGAACAGTATATGAGCCATATTATGTATGGCAGTTTATAGAAAGTTTTATATACTCTGTTCCACTTATAACTTACATAAAACTGCTAAAAAATCTGGAGAAAAAACAAAGGCAAATAAACCATTTAATGGATTGAAAGCTAAAAACTGCCAAATATACAGAAATTATTAAAAAAACTGTAGAATCATTGTTGTCTTCACATCACTATGGTTTGAAGACTTAACAAAAATGTCTCTTTTAATTAACAAACATGAATTATTTAACAAAAACTGTGAACAAGAATTTCAAACAAAACATTGCTTGCTGCTTTTAAAGGGACTCCACTGAGGTTTTTTGACACAATGGGACTGGATTTTTCCCCCCAAATTAATGTTTCATTTGATGTAGTTATAGTCCAATAACTTGTGTGCAAAATTCTAGATAATTAGCTCACTCCATTTTTCCTGAATAGTTACTCTGGTCGTAAAAAATGGCTCAAAACAGGCTCGGAATAGCAAAAAATAAAAATAAAATTTTTTACAATTTTCAAATTATATCCGAGTATATTTCTAAATTATCTTTTAATTTTTTTTTCTCTTTTAGCTGCCCTAGTTGATCTATGTATGAAATTTCATTTTAGGCTTTAGACTTCGTTGGAGTTCCTTTAATAGGTTTTAACAATGATTTGAAAAACAAATGACTTAAGAAATGTAAAAATGGTTCTTAAAATATAACTTAATTACAAAATGAATACACAGAGCACTTAAATTCAATTACCATATCATATAAATATCTTACTTTGGCACAAGCTTCTGGTTTAGGAGATGATAACTTGGCAAGCGTTTGTTTCTCAACTCGAGTAGTTTCTGATTCCGACACTCTCAAAATAACCACCTATATAATAATGAATGAATGTCATCTTATTATGTTTATTGTGTACATGTACGTAGACAGCATTTCAGTAAACACAAATCAACATTATTATGAATGAATTTATTATTGAGAATTATCCCTGCATCAGGCATTTTCATGGGTATAAGCACAATATCGCTGATGTGAAAATGTCTTTAATGTTCTCAAATTAAGCTAAGCAAACCACTAACTTAGTAGAAAACTTATTGATATGCATACAAAAACAGCTACTAGCTTTTTACAGTCAAATAGGAATTCAATTTAAAGTGAGTAAGGATACAAGAAATCCCTTGTAATGTCAAAGCCAAGACAATATGAGAAAAGCATTGATCTTAGAACATAACTTTACATGTTACCCATCATCTAAAAGTATCAAATTTTAAGCTATAATATTATCACTTTCCAAAACAATCTTTAAACTAATTAAGTGTACAGTGAATAGAACTTCAGTTGGCTAAACATGCATTGCTCCTACATCAAATGGAAATATTGTGCTATGAAAAATATACAACATGAATAATAAAATCACATATCTTACACCACCAGTTATTATAAGAGATCATATCATTAAAACATACCTTAATTCTACTGTATTTCTTTGGTGACATTTCTAGAACAAAATCATGCTCCGTGTCCAGGAAGAATCGTACAACTTGTTTGTACAGGAAGTATGGATTTTGGCCGCCAATACCCTGGCTCCATCTTGTTGTACGAGTTAATATTCTTTGGAACAAGCCACCTTAACAATAATAGTGAAATATATTATATATTTCATTACATATGTATAACTATACACAAACTTAATAAACTGTAAATAAACTGTTTTTGTTTGTTTTTTCATAGTCATTTCCTTCTGGGAACATTAACAATTAAGTTATATATGTACAAGAGGGCAATTTACCATTCACAATTAAATCATAAATGTATAAGAGGGCAAAACTTTTGACGACAGGCCTACCAGTAGGTAATTTCGACACTTTTGACAATAATGCAACAGTAACAGGTATTTGCAAACAATACAGTCAGGTAAACTTTTACAATTATGCAGTCTTATCATACTCTCCATTATTAGTTGTTCAGTGTTTGTTTGTTTTGGGTTTTACGTCACATCAACACAGTATAGGTCATATCGCGACGTTCTAGCTTTACTGGTGGAGGAAGACCTCAAGTGCCCTTCCGTGCATTATTTCAGGCACGAACGGGCACCTGAGTAGAACCACCGACATTCCGTAAGCTAGATGGATAGCTTCCTCACATGAAAGAATCCAAAGTCCCTGTCGTGATTCGAACCCACAGCGGTGAGGGGCAATTGATTTGAAGTCAATGACCTTAACCACTCGGCCACGGATGCCCCAGTTGTTCAGTGTTAGTAATTATATATAAAATCCCATAAACTATTATTGAACTATTAAAATTGTGGATTGTTTAAAACCATAAGACAAATGTAGAAGTGTAAGGATTTTCATTTTATTGATCAATTAAGTTGACATTTTAGTCTCTCAGGCTCTGGTGAGCTGAAACTGGAAAACAGTTTTATCTGAATTGTTATTTAAGAAACTGCTTACTTGGTAGAAATCCATGGAAGTTAATGTAGAAAGTGACATCGTTTTCTCCGACTGTGTAAAGTTTATTTGAACCGTGGTACCGTGACAACCGTGCAGGTACGTAAAAACATCTATTTGTCATGTAGTCAGAAGCCTGGGACTGAAATGTTGAGTAAGACAAGCTAGACAACTCTTGAACATCGATTGTGCAAAAACTTGTAAGAAGCTTTTTAATATAAGTGCAAAATCATCTAAATCATTATCAAGGTTTATTGACATTATTTACTTGAAATTAACTTAACACATGCAATTAAAACAGCCGAAATCAATGTAAAAAGTAACAATAAAAGTGCATTGATAGAAAAAAGTACAACATTTGATTACGTAAGGAATATATAATTTACCTCCGCAACACTAGGAAGACGTTGGCAAACCAGATCAAATTTCTCGAGCAATCCTAGAAGTAACATTTTCTGATCCAATGCCTCGTGCCACAATGTCTCAAGCAGAGTTTCTTCTAAAATACCAAACTCCTCTAATCTAGTCCACTTGTCACGAATTAAATTCCACTGAAATATTAAGTTTTACATTTTTTCCCGTTTTTTTAAGCCAATTCTAACATATCAAAATGTTGTTATTTTGGTCATATCTCAGAAGTTGATCAACTTAACATTTCCTGGATAACTAACCAGTAATAACCCATTTCTCTGTATGTGACCAACTACTAAAGCCACATAATTTATTACTTTGTTGGGGGCATCCGTGGCTGAGTGGTAAAGAACGTTGACCTTCAAATCACCTGCACTTCATTGCTGTAGGTTTGAATCCCTAAAGGGACTCTGGATTTTTTGTATGTGAGGAAGCTATCCAGCAACCTTATGAAACATCAGTGGTTCTACTCTGGTACTCTCTCATGCCTAAAATAATGCACAGAGGGGCATCGGAGACCTTCCTTCACCAGTAAAGCTGGAAAGTCGCCATATGACCTCTGCTGTGTTGGTGCAACATATTGGCCAAAACAAAAAGTTTATTGTACAGTAACTATTTTCTATATGTTAAATATCATAACCATACCTTATCCTCTGGTCTCCATGCAGAGGATATCACATGTTTAAACATATCAACCAGCCACTGTGGATCAAGAATGACCGTGTTACGTAACAGATTATCTATAGCCGATTTTCCACTACCATAGTATACTATACTTCCAAGATCATGATAAAACTCTAACATTGTCATAACTTCTTTATAATCTGTAACACCTAGATGTCCTGCTACCTCCGTCACCTGAAATCATAACAAACTTTAGAATATTACATTATACTTATTTCCTTTTTTTTCTCAATATCATTTTTTAATAGATCAATTTGAATGTCTATCACAAAATGTAGCAGAAATGTTTTTGTTTTTGATTTAAAAAAAAACAAATGTTATATTTTCTTTTCAAGTATTCAAGTAATCTTTATTCAGAGGTGATACTCTCAGTTCACCTCCTCTCCTACATGCAAGATAATTAATGGTATTTTTTTCACTTAAAGTGACAAAATGCTCACTTTTTTCCCTGTTAATTTCAGTTGAATTATTAATATATTTCAAAAGATTGGCTACAATAATGGTGATTGAACAATAATTTCTATAATACAAAACTGCCACATACACTCTATACCATACTTAATTTCCTTTGGTGACATAATTAATTATTTTTTCAGAGTAAAATATAAAACTGAACATAATTATAGCAAAATGTCAAATCATTTTTTAGTTTTACCTTTTGATTTACTGTTTACATTCAAATGGGCATAATGCCACTTTAAAAGAAAGATTGCACTTATTAATGTATTGAATGTCTGAAGTTTTGCATAAAAATAATTTCCTTTAGTGTGAGATAACTATGAAAGTGTTGGGGTTTTTTTGTTGTTGTTGTTGTTTTTGCTACCTATATATAGACCTATGCAACTAGAATAAATCCAGGCTGATATTGCAAGTGGTCAAACTATATTCTCGGCAGCTATTAGCACCTAAATATTGATATTTTCATTCTAAAATCAATGCAACAGCTTAGATTTATAGCAGAACCAGTCCAGGAATTCAAACCAGGCAGACTGGATTTAATCTTATCCAAGACTGGTGTTCCTAACTTTTAGTTAGTATTTAAAACTATTCATTTACCTGATCATAAGAGGCGTAATGTGTCCCCTGTGTTTTTAGAGTATTTATCTCCTGCTCAAACTTCATCCATCGTATCGGCATACGTTCTCCTATATAAGGTTCTTGGCAAGATATCTCTTCTATTTTCCTCCGCAACTCCACTAACTAATGAAATAAAGCAATAAAAACATATTAAGAACAAGAGGGCCATGATGGCCCTGAGGTCGCTCACCTGTATATAGGCCCCCCAACCCCCCTAAGTTGCAGGGCCAATTTAACCCAAGGGCTTTTATTTGCACAAACTTGGTAGACACCCATAAGAAGATGTTTCATGCTAAACATCTAAGCTCTAGCTCATTGGGCTTTTTAAAAGAAGATTTTTTTTAAGTTTTTACTATACACATATAGTTAAAAACAATGACACCCCTGGGGCTGGGCCAGGGCTTTTATTTGAACAAACTTTGTAGACACTTACTAGAAGATGTTTCATGCTTAATATCTAAACTCTAGCTATTTGGGTTTTTTCAAAGAAGATTTTAAGTTTTTGCTATACACATATAAAGAAAATCAATGACCCCCGGGGCGGGGCCAATTTTGACCCCAGGTCTTTTATTTGAACAAACTTTGTAGACACTCACTAAAAGATGTTTCATGTTTAATATCTTAACTCTAGCTATTTGGGTTTTTTCAAAGAAGATTTTTTAAGTTTTTGCTATACAAATATAAGGAAAATCAATGACCCCCGGGGCGGTGCCAATTTTGACCCCAGGGCTTTTATTTGAACAAACTTGGTAGACACCTTTAAGAACATGTTTGATGCTAAATATCTTAGCCATAGCTCTTTGAGTTCTTTAAAAGAAGATTTTTTAAGTTTTTACTATATGCATAAAGGGAAAATCAATGCCCCCCGGGGCGGGGCCAATTTTGACCCCAGGGCTTTTATTTGAACAAACTTGGTAGACACTTATTAGAACATGTTTCATGCTAAATATCTTAGCTCTAGCTCTTTGGGTTCTTTAATAGAAGATTTTTTAAGTTTTTACTATATGCATATAGGGAAAAATCAATGACCCCCTGGGGCGGGGCCAATTTTGACCCCAGGGCTTTTATTTGAACAAACTTGGTAGACACCTATTAGAACATGTTTGATGCTCAATATCTTAGCCATAGCTCTTTGAGTTCTTTAAAAGAAGATTTTTTAAGTTTTTACTATATGCATATAGGGAAAATCAATGACCCCCCGGGGCGGGGCCAATTTTGACCCCAGGGCTTTTATTTGAACAAACTTTGTAGACACCCATTAGAACATATTTCATGCTAAATATCTTAGCTCTAGCTCTTTGGGTTCTTTAAAAAAAGATTTTTTAAGTTTTTACTATATGCATATAGGGAAAATCAATGACCCCCGGGGCGGGGCCAATTTTGACCCCAGGGCTTTTATTTGAACAAACTTGGTAGACACTCACTAGAAGATGTTTCATGCCAAATATCTAAGCTCTAGCTCTTATGGTTTTTTAATAGAAGATATTTAAAGTTTTTTCTTTCGGTTGCCATGGCAACCAGAGTTCTGCATGGAATTAAATTCTTTGAACAATTTTCAAAGGTGACCACCAAAGGAACAGTTTGGATGAAATTGGCTTAGTGGTTTATGAGGAGATGTCATTTAAAGTAAAAGTTTACGGACGGACGGACGACGGACGGACGGACGCCGGACGAAAAGCGATCACAAAAGCTCACCCTGTCACTTTGTGACAGGTGAGCTAAAAAGAGAAGGAGGCAAAGACCATTTACCAGTAACTTTAGTAAGAGTTCCACTACAATGATGTATCTAAATAAAATTTATTAAGAAAGTTATTACAGTTTGACGTTTAACCTTTTTTTTTTGCTTATTTTACAGCCTGGTGAATATTGGCTATATCTCCCCTATCCAAAAAAGCTGTTTTTTAAAATTGCATGAGAATTGTTTTGATTAGCACATTTGTAAAGAAACTGAATATAATTATTCTTGTCATTTCTTGCAAGGAAGGTATAATTATTCTTGTCATTTCTTGCAAGGAAGGAAACAAATAAAGTAATAGCACTAGTAGACATAACATTACTGCTAAACTGTTATTTTAAACACCTTCTGAAATCATGCAGTTTATCAGCAAATTATTAAGCTTAATATAGATATTTCCAAGCAAAAATTCATAAAATGTTCTCATTTCATTTTCCGTCTGCAGTAATCAAAGAATGATATACAAATTTTACCACAGTATCGTCCAGTGTATTGTTGACGGCAAAAAATGGGGTGACTAGATGTTTCACATAAGGTTTACCAATCAGGAACTCTTGTATTAATGAAAACTTTTCTTCAACCTGTAAAACAACAAGAGGGCCATGATGGCCCAAAGTCGCTCACCTGTATATAGGCCCCTGGAGCGGGGCCAGTTTTAACCCCAGGGCTTTTATTTGAACAAACTTGGTTGTATATGTATGCATGTATATATATATAATATATTTTTTAAGTTTTTACTATATGCACATAGGGAAAATCAATGACCCCCGGGGGCGGGGCCAATTTTGACCCTAGGGCTTTTATTTGAACAAACTTTGTAGACACTCATTAGAAGATGTTTCATGCTAAATATCTTAGCTCTAGCTCTTTGGGTTCTTTAAAAGAAGATTTTTTAAGTTTTAACTATATGCATATAGGGAAAATCAAAGACACCCTGGGGCGGGGCCAATTTTGACCCTAGGGCTTTTATTTGAACAAACTTGGTAGACACTCACTAGAAGATGTTTCATGCTTTATATCTAAACACTAGCTATCTGGGTTTTTTCAAAGAAGATTTTTAAGTTTTTGCTATACACAGTCATATAAGGAAAATCAATGACCCCCGGGGCGGGGCCAATTTTGACCCCAGGGCTTTTATTTGAACAAACTTGGTAGACACTCACTAGAAGATGTTTCATGCTTAATAGCTAAACTCCAGCTATTTGGGTTTTTTTAAAGAAGATTTTTTTAAGTTTTTGCTATACACATATAAGGAAAATCAATGACCCCCGGGTTGGAGCCAATTTTGACCCCAGGGCTTTTATTTGAACAAACTTGGTAGACACCCATTAGAACATGTTTCATGCTAAATATCTTAGCTCTAGCTCTTTGAGTTCTTTAAAAGAAGATTTTTTAAGTTTTTACTATATGCATATAGGGAAAATCAATGACCCCCTGGGGCGGGGCCAATTTTGACCCTAGGGCTTTGAATTGAACAAACTTGGTAGGCACTCATTAGAAGATGTTTCATGCCATTCCAAATATCTAAGCTCTAGCTCTTACGGTTTTTTAGAAGAAGATTTTTTAAGTTTTTCTTATTGGTTGCCATGGCAACCAGAGTTTTTAATGGAATTTAAATTTTTGAACAACTTTGAAAGGGGTCCACCTAAGGATCATTTCTGTAAAGTTTGGTTGCAATTGGCCATGTAGTTTAGGAGGAGATGTTGTTTGAAAAGTTTGACGCCATTTTTTGAAGGACGCACGACGCACACAGAGTGATGACAAAAGCTCACCTTTGAGCACTTCGTGCTCAGGTGAGCTAACAGCATAATTCATTGAATTTCAAAGCTAAAAAGAATTCCTAAAATTCATAAAAATAGAAAATTTCTACTAGGGCTAGGTATTACCAGTGAAAATGATACATTTGTATTTGTAACAATATGTTGCACAAATACACTTTACCATTCGGCAAGATAAAAATTGATAGTTATTAAGGTATCTATATCAGTGAAATAACCACATAAAAACATTAACTTCTGATAATAACCTTCAGTGGTAGGGATTTATTAGACAATAATTAATTCATTTGACTGTATTATAATAATAATAAAAGAAATCAAGTCCCTTGAGAGAACAGTGAAAATCCAGTGGTTTCAAGTCAGCAAGGTGAACAACTTGGCAACTGAGCCCACTTCAGTAAAGGACTATCATAAACCAAAATTCTTAAGTTATCCTGGCAATTAAATAAACATAACTTACAGTCTGGTTTATGGCATCTGTCTCAGAATGTAAACAATCTTTATGAGTCCCCACAATCAACACTGGTGGAGAATATGTGTTTAACTCTGTAGTCTTGTTAGTTGTAGAGGCATGAGCATATATAGATCTCAACCAGAAATCTAGATATTCTAATGTAGAAAGTTTATCAGAGTCTTCCTGAAATTTAAAATCACAGTTAATCTATAAGGTAAATATTGCAGATCGTGACTCACTGCTTTTTATTTGCTACAATTATATTAAAATGGCTCCAACTGTTTTCACCATGCTATATTTTATTTATCATAATTTACATATTAATATCAATATGTTTCATTATTTTAAAATCTTATCCCCTAACAAATAATTTCAAAACTCTGACAGTTAAAACCCATCCAAAATTTTTAACTTCCAGTTTTAAACTCGCTTATAAATTGTATCACAGTTTTGCCTTAGATATAAAGTTACAAAATTGTACAATTCTTTTTACCAATGACTGTATATAATAATGCTTACCTCTGATTCAGAGGTCACCTCATCAAGGTCATTAGTCAAATTGAACACAAAAACATATAATGCCCGACTAGTCAAAAAAATTTGATGTGTCGCATAATAAACTTCTTTTCCAGCAAAATCCCATATATTTAGCACCATTTTAGCTCCATCTACAGGCTTAGTTGCCAAAGAAACGGAGTCCTGGGATTTAACTTCCACAGAAGAATTGTCCAACATTTTTTGCACTAATTCAACCACAGAATCTGGCACTTCCTTAAACATTTCTGACGGAATCTCACTGAACTTGGCTGAAATACTTGCAGAAGATGGTTTACTTGAAATCTGAAAAAAAAAAAATGTCAAAGAAAATTCAGCTTTACTGTTTTTATTACAAACTAAATATTGGCAGGTGCTATGACAAATTTAAAACTTCTGATCTTAACTTATGATGAGAGTTTGTTCATTCATTATAATTTCATTCAAAGAAAGATTTTCAAAGACCTTTCCATTTTTATTTAAGTAAATTGCTATTCCTAATAAACAACTTTTTTTTTGTAAGGTATAATTAACGTAGTAAAAGGTCATATGGCAACTTTCAAGCTTTCCTGGTGGAGTACACCACAATGCATTATGTCAGGCATGAACTTGAGTAGAACCACCAACATTCCGTAAGCTAGCTGGATAGCTTCCTCACATGAAAGAATCTGTTGGGATTTAAACCCACAGAGGTAAAAGGCAAGTGGTTTGAAGTCAAGGACCTTATCCACTCGACCACGGATGCCCAGGCTACACAGACAGCTGGGAAAGTGTGTGGTGTGTCTAACCAATCATCTTATAATATGATAAGATTTCAAATTTTATCCAAATAATCAACAGATATTGTAAGTTGACATTTGATATTCTAAGATCACACATAATTCTAAACATGTTTCAACTATTTACTATATTAGAAATGTAAAAGAAAACCTATTCATTGTGTCAAAAATGTTGAAACACAATTATTTGCAACATGGGAAATAACTCTTTGAATGTTTTAAAATTTGAAAAAATAAGAGTTATCCCCAGATCAATGTAAAGTGCATGCCTATTAGGTAATATGAATGCAGATTCAAATTTAGAACCACTTTTATTGCATTTGATTTTTACAACTAACTTAAAGTTATGCAACATGAATACATGCTACTAAGTCCTTCAAGCTCACTCCAGTCAACTATTAAAAAGTATAGTATTGACTTGAAGCCATAAGCATACATAGTTTTATTTTCCAAACTGGTTTGACAGCTTTATTTTATATTTACTTTGCATTTTTTATATTTACTTTTTGGAAATATAAATAACAGATATGAAGGATATTAAAAGCTGCACCACTCCTCCAAAATAACATGCAAAGAACATATCATAACACTGATTATTTAACATGTTTATTCAATTTCCAATTATTTATTCTAGAACTTTCCTATATGAAACAACTCATGATCTACATTTCATGAAGCTTTCGTCCCATAAATGATGAAATACCCCAACATGGACCACCTTAAACCTGTCAGCATAAGCAGTGATAATAACAGACAAATATATTTCATATACAGAGTCAGGCTAATCTGTTTGTATGTTTCATTTTACGCCTTTTCCCCAACAGTATTTCAGTCATATAGGTGGGTAGTTTCCTAACCATCGTTCCTGGAGAGTTACACCAGTACTAGACTACCTTCCTCCGCGCTAAACTACCAAAGCGTCTCCCGGGGATCGAACCCACGCCAGACAGGTAACTGGATTAGAAGTCATCGACTCTAACCCCTCGACCAAGGAGGCGGTTGGCTAATCTGTAAACCATACACATAGTACATGTACATGTATATATAAACATAAGTCTACATCCTGTTATGGCAAGAAATGTTCAAGTTACAGTATATAAGCTCACAAGACAGGGTATAGTGATCAGAAGTGATATATGCCTATAATTGCAAGACAGGGTACACATTGAATTGTACAGGCTTGCAAGACATGGTACAGTGATTTTGTTTATCCCCTGCAATATGGTCAAACAACACCTACAATTGACTTCTCAATTTAAGTTTTCTCAAAAAAAATCTGTGTGATTATGACTTTTCAAAATTCAAAGGAGGACTATTTCTCAAAATTTACATTTAGAAAGGTACTAGACTGCTGCTATCTGAAAACATCTTGGAGAAGGGTTAACCTTACCATTTAAAATCAAGTACATGAACCGTACATTAATAAATAAAACCAACCTTTCTACTACCAGCTGTAGATCCTCTCTGTGACTCACGTGATGCAGGTTTTGATTTCTGTGACACAGAAGTTTTACGTCTCTTCTGATATAAAAGTTCCTGAACAATATTGGTGGCTAATGCCTGGTTATACTCCTCTTCTAAGCCTTCAACATCACCTGTAGTATATATTATAATGCTTTATATCAGTTACCTTACAATGCTTTGCATAATAAAAGAAATATGTACTATGTTATTAAATGTGAATTCATTTATCCCTTTAATGGTAACTGAAACAATGGCAGCCCTATGAAACCCACCCTTTTTCATTACAAAAAAATCGGGAAAAAAGACCAAAAGGTCCCCTTCCAACCTTATTTTAACATGAACGGGACCTGAGTAGACCACTGTGTTCCAAAAAGATAAGCTAAGCTAAAGTTTTTATAAAGAAATACTGTAAATTCCTAAGAAATGTTCGCGGATACAATATTTCGCATTTTTCACAAAGTCAGCATTTTCGCAGAGACAAACTTTTGCAGATTTGTAGTAACCGCGAATTCCGCGAATATTAAGTCGCTACGACCTAAATTACAGTTTTTGGTACGACCTAAATTACAGTTTTTGAAGGCTACGTTTCGGATGCATGACCTTGCCTGTTGGGTACTTTTAATTCTTTTTTTTTTTTGGACAAGTCGTACCTAAAGCGCAACGTTACTTGATACCTTTTCATCTATTGACTTGTCGAACACGGACGGTTGTTCTGTGAACAAATCATATTTCCTTACCTTTTTCACTATGTGATTAAGTAAGATTTAATCAGACCCGTTAGCTTTTATTCTCATTTGAATCATAACTGACTTTATCTTCAAAATGTCGATACGTATTTTTACACAGTATCGGACTGTACATCATATTATAACATCATTCATTATAACAACATAACAGCTGTTATCAAAAGTAGCACTAGTGTACTTTTAACAAAGGATTACACCTACTCCAAGCAAATAAAATCCAAGTCATTCAATGTACGCAAACTGTAAATGCGTTTGTCAACGCCGTGACTAGCGAAAAACGTCAATAAGCATGATAATAACTAATAATTGATATTTTATTTTCCAGCGTGCAAACTACATTTTTGTAGTGTCAAAAATATACATAAATAATTCTTTACACATTTCTATAGCACCTGTGTTTATATTTTTTTTTGTGTAAGTAGATTATAATAAATATTCTGCATGTTTATGTTATCTTTGGTTGAAGCTAGAAATTTTCGCGGATTTGTTATAAGTGACATATTCGCGGCTATAAAGATTCGCCGAATCATGCCTACCGCGAAAAGCGCTAACTTAAAACGCGCGAAATCTTTTTTAGGAATACAGTAGATACAGTTATAATGACTAGGATGGATTGACTCTCCTCCTGTACTATTTTCAATAAGTTTGTACCTATGACCAATCATGTTTTGTGGCTTCTTTTTTTAGTTAAGTTTTTATATTATAATTTTAATGCATTATCAAGTATTAGATGATGTCTGTTTTTTTGTGTAAGTGAAAACTTCAATGGTTTCACTGAGATCAGTTGACCAACCAAATTTCTTACCCATAATGCCTTTGTTGCTATCATCCTGTGTCACATCATGTGTGTTTGTTCCAGCTTCAGTCCAGTTGTCATGGCTACCAACACAGAATGTACAGGAAGTAGATAAATCTATCCCTTGTGTCTCCTCTGTGCTGCCTTTCACACTTCTGTCAATGAAAAACACAAAATCTATATTGTTATAACTTTACAGATAGCATGTAACATGAATTTTCAATAACTCTCCTTAAGAACCATTCTCAAGGTTATAACGACCTTGTCCTTAAAAATTAATAACAATATTTTAAGAATTTCATTTTACTATAGTTTTTATACTGTTATATTTAAAGACATGTTGTATCGCTGTAACTATATAATAAAGTCAAGTATAATAACAAAGTCTGATATACAAATATATATATATATACAGTTTATTTACAAGACTAGTAATATAATGATATGATCAAGCGATCTTACTACAAGTGTAGCTGGTCAACGACTGACGGATAATTCCAGCCAGGTTGCAAGTATAGACTAGCTATAGTCTGTTCTTAGATAACAGTATGGTAAACATATGGTAAACATACTACAACATGTTTTCAAACAACATGGTTAAAGTGACCTTGACCTTTTCCATTCTCTTAAGCAAAACCAAAGTTTTACTGACAACTAATACTGATTTATCAATTTCTTGACATTATTCCTGATAAATCACATCTGATGATGGAAACATTATTGTTTTACTTTACAATCTAAACTATGTCAATATAACATTGATACAAAAAATTGATCGTAATATTTAGCACCTGTCAATGTGAGAAATTATCATTGTAGTCATACCTGTTGTGACCTAAGTACCCAAATGTATGCACGAGTAATCTATGTATCTAATAGGACCAACTTGCAATTTTATTAGTAACTGATTGCATGTAAAGGTAAAACAGAAGAAATTGCACACAAAAAAATGAAAACAAGGAACTATTTATAACTTACTGTTGCCCTAGTAATGCTTTCTTCAGACTTGTTTTTCCTGCCCTATCCTGTCCAACAAGCATAAGTCGTGTTTTATAGACCGGTTTCATGCCAGAGATACATGCTGATTCAAAAGCTTTGATAGCCTCTGGCCCCCTCGCCATTATCTCCTTTGGTGCATCGTCTGTAAACAATTTACAAAATTTTAACATTTTTCCTCACCAGGAATGTTTTTTCTCTGCTCAAAGTATAAATTTCATTTGCTGGAACTAAACAACTGAGTTATCAAGCACAAGGTTTATCTTTTTATATGTCTCCAATATTAACTATAAATTAAAGAAAATCAGGTGCATATGATTCTATGAGGCGTCTGCTGCCGATTTAAAAATAAATATCCTTTGCTTCTGAAAAATTGAATATAATATGGTTACAGGCACATTAAATCAATCAAGCAAATAATGTTATGATATAACACGATCAAGGTGATTCACATTGATTCAAGGTGACGGGGGAAAAAGCCGTCTGATTATATATCAGACTTGAAAGAAAATATCTGCAAAGAAATCCTGTCTCGTCTTGCTTTTACATGCGCTTGTTATGAATAACATTTGCATATCATTGGCTAAACTCAAATTATATAACCATTTTAAAGTTCTTTTATAAATACATTATGGCAGATTTATAACTACTTAGGGCAAAAAACAACAACATTTATTTCCTTTGATCTGTAATCTTGACATTTCTCTTTCAATTTTTTTATCATTCTTATCAAAGGTTACTATAACCCAAGTGTGGTATTTGATTAAGCTTAAGTCTTTTAATTGATTATTGTTTATAAGATTATTGTTAACAGTTACCTAGATATTCAAGTTTACTTTTTTATATTTTAAAAATAACTTTTACATGAAAACTACTGACACAATATTAAAACTGCACGCCAAAATATTTCAAGAAAATCAATATTGAGAAAAATAATGTTAAGAATTTTAAGAAAGGTAAAAACATTCAAGATCCAAGTGATATTTTACATGTTTTATGCAGTTTAAGAATGCTTTTGCAGTATATGATCACCATATTTATACTGCGTTACTTATGCAATAAGAGCTTTTTTGCAATTTGTTGACTGTTGACCACTTTTGGGTAATTTTCTTGGATTATATTAGTGCCGATTGCAATGTGTAAATTGCTTTATTTGTTCATCTCACAATATTTTACTTTTTAATACATTTCTAAAATTTTCATGAAAATTAACATGAACCTGGAGGCGTGCTGCTTTAAAGTTGTAATATGTGGTACTTATTTGTTACCCTGCTGGCAACAACCCAAGCAACCAGTGCAAACCAAGATTAGCCTGCATGCCTGTGCCATCTGATCATAGTCTGCACTGTGCAGTATTCAAACAGTACATATAATGAAATTTTCCCCTGAGATAATAAATATTTTTTGTCTAAATTAATGCAAGTCCAGTTTAAATATTTAGTGAGAAAAGGATTAACTTTTTTAATGCTGTTGCGGGTGATGATTATTATAAGTGTCTTGATTATGTGAAAAATCTGTAATTCTGATCTGTTTTATATTAAAACATACTTAAATCAAAATTGAAACCAAGGCAAGTACATTTTACAGTATAAATGTAAAATCTATTCTGTTAATCAGCAAGTCAATATTACTACATGGTATATTGATATCATAATCCTTTATAATAATAATGAACAGTTCCAATCTCAAAGCAGTATCAGTCCATTATACAAATTAGTGGTATTGTTTGGTTTTATTAACCTGTCAACTACATACTGATTACACGGTCGATGCACACAGTATATTAATCTTCGGTAGATGTTCGGTAAGTTCCGTCAGATGTACGCTGTACGATGGAATTTAATTTAATTTGTATCTCTAAACTAAGTGTACTCAGCGTTATAGCGCAACAGGTTAAATCATGAGTTTATAATCTAAGTGCCACACGTGTTTTAAGTTCTAGGCCGCGTTGGTCCATGTTTTTGTCTTATTAATACTTTCAACATTATTGAATCTATATATGATTATTTTATGTTGTTTGTTTTTTTATTATGTTTTACTTAATTTTGTTATGTATATACTCTTTTTAAATAACATGTTTTTTTAAGAATTCATGTTTAAAATTAAAAAGGATTAAAATCAATAAATGTCTTTTCAATGCCGTAAAACACACTACAAATCTGTTCCATTTAAATATACTGCAAAAATAAAGAAAGAGTACTAAAACAATGGCAACAGTAAGGATCGAACCACAGACCACTCAATTATCAGACAATCTCTTTACCGACTGTCCTTAGTACTGTGAATTAACGAAAATCTTCACATAAGGCTGGCGTGACTTTCAATCCATGACTAATATACTCCTTATTAATTCTCGTAAACTACACGGACCAAACCGAAGTGGGATCGAAAATTTAAATGAGTCCTATAATGTATTCATAATTGACAGGTCAATAAAATCAGACTATATCATGCTTTAATGCTTATCAAAATTATTTCTACTTTGGTTTTCATGAAAATGGAAAATAATATTATTTTATTTTCAAGTATAATATTTTGTTTTTCATTCATGCATCTTATGTGAATAATCAAATATTTTCATTCCTGATATTAATATAAAATAATGGTCAAATTTAAATAAATCATACATATAGCATGGAACCCTGTATTTTATTCTCTATCAACATATTAAATGTTTCCTTAATATGCCTGCACTGAATTTCAATGGTGAACCTCAAAATAATTTCTATTTTGTGTGAAGCAGAAACATTGCATTTTTTTTTGTTGAACAGGGTAAAATATGTTTTTAATTCAACATTTAAATGCAATGCATGCATGACAATGCACACATTACAAGACTTTCAAAATGCAGCTGCAACAATAACAGAGTTGCATAAATAATACAGAGTATATATGCATATATAGATTTCTTTACAAAGTACAAAGATATAAATCATTTCTAGGATGTGGTAAGAAGACACAACTATTTCTTACAGAATATCCACATTTAAAATAAATTACCTCAAAAATCTTTCTAGAATCTTAATTTAAACAAGAGCGATCAGTAATCACATGTGTCGCCTCATGATGGCCAATTTCATGTTGGGACAAGTTTTGTGACAGACTGACAGACAGACGGACAGTGTACAACTAGACTTGGTACTGATCATTCCTGTAAAGTTTGGATAAAATTGCACCAGTAGTTTATGAGGAGTAGTCCGGACAAGCTTTTGTGTATCTGGCAACACACGGAAAAAAACACCTTTTTATCAAAGGGCCATAACTCGGCCAAAAATCATTCAACCGGAAAACCAGTGCAATATGCGCAAGGCCTTGAGCTACAGATCAATCCTGTAAAGTTTCATTGAAATTGCATTAGTGGTATAAGAGAAGTAGTCCGGACAAACTTTAAAATTAAAAATTATTAAAGGGCCATAACTCTGACAAAAATCATTGAACCGGAAAATGCTGACAATATGCACAACTAGACTTGGTACTGATCATTCCTGTAAAGTTTGGATGAAATTGCACCAGTAGTTTATGAGGGGTAGTCCGGACAAGTTTTGTGACGGACGGACGGACAGACAGACAGACAGATAGACGGACAGACAGACGGACAGACAGACGACGGAGAAGTGATCCCTATATGTCGCCACTACTCCGTAGAGGCTACACAAATCAAAAAATCAAACAAAAAACTAGTGATTCATTACATAAGTTTACAAAAATGTTCTCACCTGATTTAATAAACTTCATGCCTTTGGTGTTTCCATATATATCAAACAGTACCCAGAATGCTCTGTCAACAGGAAGTCCAACAAAGAGTGCCCCCTTGTGTTCATTGTTCACAAAAAACTGCACATTTCCATTGTTACTAACATAAAACATTAGCTGACACCCATCTGTTGCCAAGTTTTCACTGATAGGCCGCACCCAGTAACCATCTCTTTTTGCCAAATGTGGTAGTGCGTATTTTGGTAATTCCTGATTCCCAAATTTTGAAGGATCATTTATTGTGAATCCGATTCTGAGTGCACCACTCCAATTACTTGTGCATGTTAATTCCACACCAACTTTTTGTCCAACTTTGATTGGTTGATCACTAAAGACAATTCCATTGCAAAAATAGGAATCGGACCTTGTAGCGGAGGTCTTAGCATCAGATAATGTTATACCCGTACCATGTATGTTGTGAAACTTCATTTTCCTGTCAACAATCTACATCGATATCATATATATTCCTACTAACACTTAAATTTTTAACGATAATTTTATGGTACAAACTCCAAAGACCACAAAAGTAACATACTCCAATTCAAATAAAAAACGTTTTATACACCCATACTATTCAAATAACTGATAAGAGTGTAAATATTAATGAATAAATCTATGAAATCTGTAGAATGTAAACTTACAACTCGTCATTCAAATCTTTCTACAAGATATTTGTTGCTCCCCTATTTAAACCCCAAATATGGTAGTATTAGGCCCAGGTTTACGCAGCCATTGCAAAAATATCGACATGAAAAAACGTAAAAATCCTTTCATAATCTGCTTTTGGAAAATCCATACTTTCTAAAAACCATGACATATTTCAAATGTAAGCTTTACATTATTCCTCAATTATCTATACTCCATCCTGATTACTTAAAGTACATTTGTTTGGATGATTCACATCTTTTTATCATTAATGGAAGAATTTCTTACTATCTGCAACAAATATAGTGTGCAAATGATATGCTGCTATCACATTTTATCTATAGAAGTATATACGCACTGGAAAAACAGAACACCTTTGTATGTCACAGGTATTACACACTTTTATTTGATCTAAGATGTCACTGGAAATTTACCACAGGTGTCTGTGAAGCTGGAATGGAAAAATCAATATCAAAATTTTATTTTACCAATACAGGTGAACAATGTGCACTCATTACTTATCTGGAGTGGTGGACTCCTGCATAAGGAAATTACATACAACTTAAAGAAAGACTGTGTCATAATGGCACAAATAAAAAATGTTCTGTGAGTATAGAAACACCCTACATGTACTTATTCGTTGAAATGTCAAGATAATGCAGCATTGTGAAATGTTTCACCAGAAGTTTTCTTCTATATACAGCCAAGTTTGCAATCCAGGAGACACATATGAGCCGCGTCATGACCAAACCAACGTAATGCGTTTGCAACCAGCATGTATCCAGACCAGCCTGCTCATCCGCGCAGTCTGATCAGGATCCATGCTGTTTGCTTACAAACCCTATAACAAGTAGAGGATCTGATAGCGAACAGCATGTATCCTGACCAGACTGGGCAAATGCGCAGACTGGTCTGGATCCATGCTGGTCGCAAATGCACTATGTTGGTTTTGTCATGACGAGGCTCATATGTGTCAATCTTTAAGTAAAAAAAATGTATCATTCTTTAGTGAAAAAAAATGTTTTTTCTTGTTAGGCAATTAACATTTTCATATGGCAGTGATTTTTGTGGGTTACGGTAGCTGTACGATGGTTCAAACAATATTTATTTAATTTTAGGCCAAAATGTCTTTTTAAGACATCAACTTTTTCCGTTCAAACATGCAAATTTTCAGAATTGATATCATATGCTGTCTGTATAACAAAAAAACCTCTACTGAAGATTCATAGTATTTACAACCTAACAATATGAGTGAATACAAAATTGGTAAGGAAATTGCTCATACAGTAAATGACATTACTTTGTCCTTCATTATTATAGAATGATTCTACAATCATAGCAGCTAAATGTATTGTAGTAAGGCACACAATTCATAATCAAATTATTAACTTCATGGCATTCAATTAGAAAAGAATTAACATAAAAATGTTTACCCAGATATTTAGGAACTAAAGCTACCTTGTGAAATGTACATGCAAGTGCACACTGTATATATAAATAAAAAGTCTAAAGGCAATTTCAATGGAGTCACATTTCAAAGATCTTATTATAGTTATTAATTATTTGAAATGACGAAATTTGAGTCCAGCAGTATTCTAATTGTGTACTTAAAGTAGTGGATATTTCACATGGGAAGTAACTTAATTTGCTGTATTACTCTAAAAAAGTCTATATTCTAAGATTTGGCTCTAGACAGAAATTTCCTTTGCAAACTGTTCATTCATTTCTAAAATAATGTAGACAAAAGTCAACAACATAATTATTATGTGTGTAAAAGATTTCATGAATACATTCAAGTTAACTTTTATTTACATCTAAATTAAAATTTACTGAAATTTCTTTGGATTTTTTCTGCTGTTTTTTTACAACAATTTTAAGACATTCTTTGGTCATATCTATGCTGTTGACCCACCTATGTTTTCACAGTCTTGTATATCCGTCAGCAATCAAGCATAAGCCCTATGCTACAAGAATATTTACATGGGGCAAATGTTTGATTATGTTTCTTGTTCTTTGAATTATTTGCATATCAACTATAAAGTTGGGATGAATTAGTTAATACTAAATATTAATGCAGAAAGTGCTAATTGATTCTATCTTTTATTATACACGTAATTAATATTAAATGAGCTGCGTCACGACAAAACCAATGTAATGCATTTGCGACCAGCATGGATCCAGACCAGCCTGCGCATCCAGGCAGTCTGATCAGGATCCATGCTGTTCGCTTACCAACCCTATAACAAGTAGAGAAACTGATAGCGAACAGCATGGATCCAGATCAGACTGCCTGGATGCACTGGCTGGTCTGGATCCATGCTGGTCACAAAGGCATTATGTTGGTTTTGTTGTGATGCGGCTCAAATGTGCATTTCAGAGTTCAACATTGAGAACCCAAGATGCAAGTCTTAAGTGATGGTTACACAAAACTGATTTGAAATTTGGCATGGAATTTCAGATTTTTGAAAAACAGGACATTTTTTGTGGGTACATCAATTCATAAATTGTATTTTTTTTTGTAAAACGAAAAAAAAGGTATAAGCAAATAATGTAATGTAAAGCAATGCCAATATCAACACATAATAGAAATTACTCAAATTACTCTCCAAATGCTTTTCATGTGACACATTTCTATATGTCTGCCACCAAAGCAGGCCTTCAGGTTATTAAACAATTTTCTAAGTTCTGTCTCAAATCTCAGGATATTCATTGGTCAATGAACATTCTGTGGCAGTTTCAAATATTTGCAATTTGAGTTTAAGCACTGCAAATTTCCTTATAACCTTGGAGCCAGGATCAAACTTGCTCTTCTAGCATTAATAAGGCACTTCAAAAACATGTTGAAGCTTTCATTTATGTATCTGAGTTAAAACGCTGTGAATTTCTAAAAAAACTCGGACACTGGGGTTTGAATTTGTTTTTCTATTAAAGCATTCATACATGTAGCTTCAGAGGATATTGCTGACCTCTGGATTTGAAATTTATCTAATTAACATGTCAGCCACTAGAGGACATCATCTTAAAGTTTACAAACCAACACTACAACAAAGGACTTTCACTGCTTAAAAACTTTTTCTCCATTAGGATTGTTAACTCGTGGAACGAATTACCAGAAAGGGTTGTTCCGGAACAAACAGTTGATACCTTCAAACTCAGACTAGCTTTTTTAGATATATGATTTTCAAGGAACGTATTAGTATATTATTACGCTTGGTTGTAGCAGATGAATTGTGAAAATTTGGACATCATCATTGGCGATGACAAAACTGACATGCATTACACAGTCAAAAACAAAAACATATTCACTAGTAATCATTATATGAAATAAAAAATAAAATGACTTTGTAGACATAAATTCAAGCAGACAAATTACCTATGTGATAAAACTAATTCTTTGCAAATATTCCCGAACAACCTGGAAAAATTATATTTAATTTTATTACAACACAGCAGTATTTTAAAGACAATTGTTGCGATATGATCTTGAAGATTGTGCAATACTATGTTCTATAATTAATTAATTGCTGGGTGCAGGTAGTAACTGTGTGATGTAGATGTCTGTTAACAAAACAATAATGCAGCAGCACATGAAAGTACCACAGCCTGGCAATTTCATAACAGAATCCCTGCTGCTACCAGAAATATTTTATTATTAAGTAATTAATAGTTGTTGGCAGTCATAAAACAAAAATAAACATGTACCCCAAAGCACATGGTAAACTTAGCTTAAGTGACCATATTAATGCTTTACAAATATAATACATTAATTGAACTAATATTATTTTCTATCTCAATTTGATATGTTCTATAATCAGTTAATTGCTGCGCATGCTGTAACTGTGCGATGCAGGGAAAAGGTATATCTTCATCAACTATGGCTTTGACAGTTAGTGCTGATGTCTTTTTCAGAAGTAGCTGTCATTGATTCATCAATATTGGTTGACAAATATCAGCTATTCACCGATATATCAATAAATACTGTTAACAGTTATTTTCATACCTGTTTAAATGATTTCAGTAACATAAATGTTCTTTTCATGCAAATATGTTGTATCCCATCTCTAAAGGACCTAAATGCATTATTTTTTTGGACTATATTATTTTGTCATCACTGCAATGAAATGTGTCCATTATGAAACAACAGCTTAGTTTAGGACATGGCCACCAGCTTTTATATATATTTTTAAAGAAATTTCATATTTTATAGACATCTAAATAATTAATTAAATAATCTATTTTTTAAAATGTGTAATGATTATTGATCGACAGAAAAATATCAACAGTACATCGATATTGTCTCTATCGATGACAGCTATAAGTTCTACCTTCTGTTCCTTAAACATTGACACCCACCTGGCAATTGTAAGATATTGAAGGGCATTTTCTCTAAAAACTAAATCTACATGTAGATCCGTTGTTATTTCTGATGCCCATTTACCCAATAACCCATGAATTTTGCAATTAGCTCTTTGCTTCCATCCCAAATCAAAATGCAACTTAGCCATGTTTACAACCAGTAATGCATTATACAAAACTACATGTATTTAAATAACCTGCTATAATATTAATGCATGTGTAAACCGTGAAAAAGTAGACTGTTGGTTAGAAAATCAATAATCTTTCCAACTGAGTCGCTGACACTAATTCAAATAATTATGCCCCTTGTATTTTGATAATAAAACATGCTTGTTACAAAATTCAGAAATTTTTAGCAATAACATGCAGATGGAAAATTGTAAACATATTGTTTAGGATTCACTACATTAAAAGTAAGTTATTAAAGCCACTAGAATTAAAGTTATATATAAGCCACTACAATTAAAAAGGGCAAACATTACACACTATCTGCCATGTATATATATATATATATATAAAGGCTGTCGCAATTAGTCATGGACAACAGGCTTATTTTTTTTATCACTTTAACACAAAAAATGTAAAAAAAATGAAAATGCATAGTCTTTCACTGATAGTCCTGTGTAGTAAATTAGTAATTAATTTATAATCTGTACAGTTAATTATCATGACTGTACTCAGTCTCAGATCATTTTTGTTTCCGGAAATAGTTTTCAAAATTGTGTTTAACGTAGTCAAGCTATAAATCACCACTGTTTGTGGATATATTTTTAAGCAGAAATAAAAACATATTTCTATCTCCAATAAAAAAAGGGTGCAACTTTACCTGTTTACTGCATACGCATTTGTAGGTAAAAAAAATGCAAAATATTACAAACATTCATATTCATGCACACTGGTACAGAGTGCATTTTTTAAATTTATCAATGTAGTTCATAACAAAAATAACACAAAATACCTGCACTAAATCCAATAAACCTGTCGCATAATTTACACAGCCGCTTACACCATTAATAATCGTCTCTAAGGTGCGCGGTCGTTTCAACATTAAAGAAAATGATTTATTTGGGTCGAACACAACTAAATCTTTACACTCTCTCTTTGAAATACTTGTTCTTTGTACTTTCAAGTTAATTCCACATATCTCGTAAGATTCATTTAGAGAGAAACTTTTTGTACCTATTTTTATAAATATTACATGCAAACTACAAAAAGATAGAGAAATAGGGTCATATACTTCTAAGTTGGCTACATAATTTATTGAATTTTAAGCGAGTTGTGAAGATAATAAATCCAAAAATCGCTTAAACTGGTTGAAATATCAGCAGATGATATGTATTTTCATTGCTATCATAATAACCAAATAAATAAACTTTGATGTTATGATTTAAATCTTTAAAAAAGATGCTCAAAAAGAAATAGGAAATTATAAATTTACTTTGTGCACAGAGCTGTAATAAAAGTCTCTTCTTTGCTTCAGCATTTCCATTAGCCTTCTTTATACGTTATTTGTTTTTAACGAACAGAGAATTATTAGGCCCGCATGTGTTCGTATATCTCTTATAAATACTGACCGCGAAAATGTGAACAATATTATTAGGTTAATAATATTTCCAACCGTATGAGACATGAAATAACCAACATTTCAAGTTTTCATGTTTTCTAGTCCTAACATTAATATTATACCATTGGTTTATTTTTTTCAGGTTGACTCTGCTTGTGTTAGGTTTAGGTTCTTCATCTTTTTTTCATGATTGCTGCAAGTAATGTTGTCGCAAATGTTAGTAAAAATCTTTTCTTTAAATTTCTGTTCATGTTTCATACGGATGGAAAACATCGAAAAATTTTGTCGACAAAATTTACAAGTGTTATCCTACTTTCGTTTCTTTACAATCCTGCAACGTTTTTCATATTTTCATGCTGCAATTTGGTGTATTTCGAATGAAATCGTTTCTCACAATTGTCACATTGCTTTTCATCTTTGTCCTTTTCCCTGAATAAAAAAAATTAAGATTGAACATAATTTCAATAATTCTCATAGTTTTATTTGTTTACATCATATGAATAAGTAATAGAAAGAGCATCGAAACACGAGGCTATCTGATTTGTTATAGGGGGCGTAACCCCCTAGTATAAATCAGATTGCCGAGTGTTTTGATGTTCTATCTCTTTTGTATCATAGTCAAACATTAAAACACGTTCCCTGTTGACACAATATGAAACCCCAGAAAAAGTAACCAATGAACGAGCAACTGAATATGAAATTATTGTCGCTTTCCCTTTCTCTGCCGTCACAATAAGTAAACCCCAGCAAAAATGAGCAAATCAATGTTTATGCTCTGGAGTGCGGGTAACTAATATCTGCACTCCAGTTAACGCACTGTGCATGTATATGTACACGATTTAACTCTGACACATTTTCAATAGAAAGGTCCCCAAACTATGATACACATAAATATTATTATCTTCTATATGTTTCATCAAAATTTATATATAATTTATGCAAACCAGAATAGAAGAAGAAGAAATGAAAAACAAAGTGCCTTTTAACAAACTGATTATCATCATCTACATGTTTATCTAACAACGATAGAATGATATCGTATATTTCTCAGAAATGATTTCCCTATATATTATCTCGTTATTTATAACTTCAAATTCTGTAAAACTAGGCCTACTCTTTTAGCTACAAAATATACAATATGCGGTATTTTTTCTCCCAAGAAAAAAAAGTTTTTTTTTTTTCACTGAATATTTTCAAATTTAAGGAAGGCTAAAATTATTGAGGACATCACTCGGTGTTTCTCTTTGGCTCGATCTCCCCTTCATAATAATATAATATGTAGCACTTCGAGTACAAGAAACTTAATTGTCCCTTAAATTATTGAACGCTCCAATTCAAACTTATTCTTAATGACATCAAATCACTGCCGGTATTTCTGGACATGTTGTGAGACGGAAAGTTAAATCTGTATTTACGAGCTTAAAGTATATAGGCCTACGTTTGGTTGCTCAAACTAGAAAGCAAAATCATATGCTTATGATTTGCACGAGTCGATCTGTTGTCTCATTAGCGAGGGAGCTAGTTAAAGTAGGCACTGTGGTTACAAGCAAACAAATGCTGAACATACCACTTTCTACATATTTCTTGTTAGATTTGCAAGTTAATGAAGCATTTGTTGGCGATTTTTAAAGCCCGGATTCTGTTGTGAAAGATTCAAATTTTGTTGGACAGACTATATAGTAAATTATTTTTTAAAAGTTAAAGACCAATAAGATATCATGGAAAATACTGGGCGTTAAATTTGATAATGAAACTCTCTTCATTGTATTTGTTTATAGGAGATAAAATAAAATACATCTATGTGATAATTATGGAACATTTTAGAACACTCGAAATATTAATCAATAGATTTATTTATTTCAATGCACGGCGTTGTACATAGAGGCATAAAAACAAACGTCTATTAGGTTTCACAATATATAAACATACAGCTACTAAGGGCAGTCGAGTGCAATAATATTATCATGTATATACAAGGGAATCTTCCCCGGTATACAAGTTGCTTACAAGATTAACGGACCTGAATGGGATAGATATGTCCCTTACACTGCCCATTCGATACAGAGAGGATGATTTTTACCCTTACACTGCCCCTTCAATCACCTCTTCTACATACGGATGAATAAACGTCAACATCAATGAAGAGTACATCACCAACTTCATATCTATATGCAGACGCTGTCAGCCAAATGTAAATTGTCAGCGTGCAATGACCGTGAAAAGTACACACAAGTGGTAAGTTCATACATATTCATTATTTTATGATAATACTTTACATCGAATTTACAAAACGATTAATGTATGCATTATTTAAGGCACGTACGTCCTCGTGTGTGCTCCAGTTGTGTATTTTATGTATGTGTTTTTCTTTGTCACAAACATTTATTATTTTAAATCTAAATTGTAAGTCTTCATTATGACCAATTACATTCGATATAAACATGCTATTTTATCTGTTGACAAAGGACAACTAATCATAATGGGATGTAGGCCATTATAAATTAAGATGCCTTTATGCACTGCTGATCCCGTATAAATGCACTATCTTAACCACTGGACAGTTTAGTTTAAAACAAAACTACAAAATGGGCGACGAATACAGCTTTCAAACAGGCGAGAAAAGAGAACTTGGTATATTGGATTATGTTTTGTTTTCACTTCTGTTCGTGGCATCAGCATTAATAGGTTTTTATCATGCGTATAAAGACAGGAAAAACACAAACATCGAAGATTTTCATCTAGGAGGAAAGAAAATGCATCCAATTCCAGTGAGTCTTTCGCTAGCTGCTACTTTTATGTCAGCATTGACAATAATTGGAACACCTGCTGAAGTTTATACATTTGGAACTATGTTTTATTGGATCGTATGTGGAATGTTCATTGCAACAATAGGTACAGCGCACGTGTTTCTTCCAGTATTCTACAGAACGAATAAGATAAGCTGTTTTGTGTATCTAGAGCTTCGTTTCGGGACTTTAGTAAGAGTATTTGCATGCGTTCTATTTTTGTTGCAAACCTTACTATACATGGGATTCGTACTTTATGCACCGTCGTTGGCCTTTCAAGCTGTGACAGGATTGTCTCTGTGGGGGTCTCTGATTGGTGTGGCGTCGGTCTGTACATTATACACAATGTTGGGAGGTATGAAGACTGTGTTATGGACCGACAGTCTACAAATAGTCGTTATGATTATTGGTCTTCTTGCCCTACTAATTGAAGGAACATCTGCAACTGGGGGAATCACAAAGGCCTGGGAGATTGCTAAAGAGCATGGGCGAATTGAATTTGGTAACGTATCTCCTGATCCTCGCACGAGGCACACTGTATGGTCCGTCGGTATTGGAGGAGGGATATTCTGGTCATACCTATATGGTATAAATCAAGCTCAGGTCCAACGTGAGTGTTCACTACCTACCCTGCGTAAGTCACAAATGGCTGTTTGGTTAAATTTTCCGGCGCTTGTATTAATTAACACACTCGTTTGCCTAATTGGAGTCGTTATGTTTGCATTTTATAACACCTGCGATCCAATCAAGTATGGACTTGTTTCAAAGAATGACCAACTTGTGCCACTTATGGTCCTGGATGTACTTGGAAATATACCTGGACTCTCTGGTATATTCATGGCGTGTGTGTTTAGTGGTAGTTTAAGTTCTATATCATCGGGACTTAGTGCAATGTCAGCTGTCCTTCTCGAAGATTTTATCAAGCGTTTTTGCACGAAATCACTGACGAGGAGGAAAGAGTTGATTCTGACGAAGTTTATTATAATCATAATTGGCTTTACGATGTTTGGAATCTCTATTCTCATTTCACAGGCTGGAGGAATGATAATTCAGCTATCATACACACTTTATTCTTTAATATCTGGTCCATTGCTCGGGTGTTTTGTTGGTGGCATGCTTTTCCCATGGACTAACAAGTACGGAGCCGTTTGTGGGTTAGCCACTTCTCTCACAATAATGTGTTGGCTAGGATTTGGTGCAGTATTCGATGGACCTCCAGGGACATTACCATTGCCAGTGCATACAGATGGATGTTACCGTACAAATTCTAGCTTACTGACGACAACTAGTATATCTAATATGCAGACATCGGCAATACTCCATAACGTCACGACGCCAACAACAGTAGAAAATGAAGTTGAGCCTCTTGTATACGACTTTTACAGAATATCTTACCAATGGTATACCGGATTAGGAATGTTGATCAACCTTATCACGTCACTTATTGTCAGTATTTTTACTGGCCGTACGAACCGTGCAACTTTGAATGATACGCTGATAAGTCCATTGTTTTTCAAGTTGTCTTCATGTTTACCAAGAAGCAAAAGAACTAAGGGTACTATCAAATTGAACGGTAACACTCAAAGTAAGAAAGAGTCCGTGGAATATATTGAAAATGAAAACAATGGTTATGTTAAAGAAAACGCGTTTTGAATTCAAGATTTATTAAAACCATTAAAATTCAAAGGAAATTCACATTTCTTATTTCCAATCATGTCAAACATTAACTGCTACGAGGATAATAGTTATTTATAAGAAATCATATTGCAAAGAACGAACATTGTAGCTCTACTGTGTGAACCATTCTTAAACTATTCTTATCATATAAGCACTGCTCGTACATGATCTAATTATCTTATTTGTGTTTTTATGAAATAAGTTTGTGTTGAAAACAAACAACGTTTGCTACCCTGTTAGGACATATTTGCCAATAAAATACCGAAATAAATTAGTTCTCATTTATTTTCTTCAAATTTTTGTTTGTTACTTAAATTCAATTTGTAAATCAGCTAAATGGATTTCTGAATCAACCAAGGGAATGACGTGGAGGGATTCTCACGCTTGACTCAAACGAGTCGAAAAACACAAAATGGCTATCGTTCAAGTGTCTTTGATTTTCGTCCGGATGTGAGAGTTCCAATGTTACGTTATTATGAAATTTGTTAGAATGTTATTATTGTTCCGTTAAAAGTGTACACCCTCTGAAGAGCGACCATCTGTAAAACAATTACCACTATACAAGACTTCACAATTAACTTAAAAAACTCTCAGCAGCAACCTCAAATCTTTGACTCTCAAAGGGTGTTGGTGTACAGAGGATGAATTGCACAATCCTCTCTGCAGAACAGTAACAGTAAACTTAAAGATAAAAAAGAAGGAAAAAAGGAGAAAAAACATACAAAAAATGTTTATTATTGTTTCACGAAGAAAACATATTTTCATGTACATATCATTGAATTTGTATCACTTCTTCTGTGCTTAAAATGCTGCACAATATTAAAATACGTAGAAATGTATCTAAGTATTTACTTCACATGTATAACGGTATTTTTGTCTCTTTTAAGTAGAAAACTTTATGCTTTTATGTCAAGAATATTGCCTTACATGTATGTGATTTTTATAATTTGGTATTTAGTCTCTACGGCATATATGGTAAAGATAAAACGTCCCTTTTATTAATTTGTTTATCAAAAGATGATCAAATAAAAAATATCAAACAATTATAGTTTCTAACAAGGCAATATGCTGTTTTTTATATTTTATAAAGATATATTAGTTTTTCTTATCATGGTTTCCAATACATTTTGTGTTGCAGACTGCCAAGCTATACAGGCGCTATGGGCGTTTGGGATTTCGCACTTTTTCAATATCTGTCTTGAACAGACACTTTTCACCATTTAATTATATTATATTACTACCAATATATAGCAAATAAAAACTAGGGTAAGACCTATATAAGCATCAGCTTTCGGTTCTGATCCTTTTTCATTCATTTCGTGTGTTGTAAAATTCTATTTGTAAATTGTAAATGTGTATACTTGTTTGAAATAAACTATGTTTAAACTAATTATATTATATTACTTCTCTCTCGAGGAATCTACTCTTTTCCAAAATTATTTACATAGAATTGAATTTAATCAGTAACACTGCTCAAATAAATTCATTTGCATGATACGTTTGCATGATATTTGTATTGTTTATGTATTGTACCTGTACTGTATACAGCTTCGTTTCAATTGTTTAAAATAAGTTGTCTTGCTTATTATCTATAATACTATGTGTCGTGAACAAACGCGATCGCTCATATGTGAAAGATTATCTACTCAAACTCAGGTTGAGCCTCACCAGGATTAATATGTGGGGCCGTACCATAGCCGGTCCTTCTACCTGCCGATGTATAACCACTCACAACCGTCACTGTAGTTTCTATCCATATATAATTATCGTTGTTATCTTGCTGATTTTGTAACTGAAGCACTGGAATTTTATGGGTAACGGGAACACATTCTAGAGATTTATTTGAACCGATGGAGTATTCACAAAGACGTTCAGCGTTGATAATAGTAGCAGGGTGTTGCTTAGGGTTATGTTTAAAACTGTAAAACCAAGGACATGTAGACCGCTTGTTTGGAGGATCGTTTGGTCCAGTCATTACTTGTGATGGACAAACAAGGTCAAAATCGCATAGGTCATTTTGGTCATATGCAGACGCCATTTTCTTCTTGTTGCTAGAAATGAGCTGCATGTAACCATACCGATCCATTAAGAACGATTCGGTCACCAGTAGCATATGATCACGATTGTTGACAATGTTCACTTCTGCACGTGGCTCTTCCGGTTTGCTCATTACACAATTATACATCGTGAAGCAGACGACGGAAAGCATTAACAGGAACATCTGGCAAAAAGTTTAAAAAAATCATTCAACAAAGAAATTAATGATAAATAATTCTGATACACTTTTGAAAAGATTCATTTATAAGATAACGATTACGTTTCAGAACTTTTAAATATTTCTAAAACAAATTGTTGTTAACATTATGAAACTTTATACTTACCATTATTCTTATTAATACTGAGTGTAAAACGGAATTGGAAGGTATTGTTTTTCCTTTTTATGTTTCAGTGTAAGATAACCTATGTCAAACTTGCTTTGAAAATCAATGTTTATTTGGGCTTATATATGTTACCGGCGGATGAAACTTTGCTTTGATGGCCCACGCAGATGACCAAAACCTATAACGCTGATATTAAACAAGGAACAAAATCTGTAAGAGACGATATATTAGATATTTTTTCAATAATTTATAATCCCCATTTTTTTCTTAAGGCAAAAAAATTGTGGGCTCTTTTTCCGCCCACTTCATAGTGCGGAAACGATTTTATTTGAAACGTTTTAACGTTTGCCTAATCGCTTTCATTCAATTGTTATTACACTCGTCTTAGTAGGCTGATTATTTTGATCAATAAATCTTGTTCTTGTTTATCTATCTTATTTTACCTCCTAATTAACTTTAATTAGGGAAGAGTTTATATTATTATGATGCTTATGTGTGTATGTTAATTTTCTAATGAATACATTGTTGTGTTTGTTCTTGCTGAAAGGTGTGTCTCAAAAATCAAAATTCTTGTAATGTCATAAAATCTTTTTTTAAGGTATCGGGATCGTGATTTTGTGCTTACCAAATTTTTACAATCATATAAATATCATATTGAAATAAATAAAATTATTAGATTTAATTTGTATAAATACATACGAATACAAATTAAAACGTTTCCCTTTTTGCATTTATTTGCATGTCGGATCATTAAAAGAACGTTATTTATAGCCCCGTCTATTAGACTGTTGTTTGCGGACACTTAACTAAAATGGGACTTAAGGTTCACTTGTCTAACACCATTGTGGGTTCGAATCATGTCAAGGACTTTAGATTCTTTCATGGATAAAGCTATACAGCTATTTAGCGGTAGGTCGGTGGTTCTACTAAGTTAACCGCTCGTGCCTGAAATAATGCACGACGTGGCACGGGACTCTTCCTCCACCAGTTAAATAAGAAAATTGCTGTTTGACATTTTTAGTGTCTACATTCCGTTAAAGAAAGAAACTAAGCTATAACGGTATTACTTTTTATTCTGTATGTACGCTTTACCTCAACAACAACCATTTGCATGGCCATATTACCATTGTTAAAACGGACCCAGGCCCAGACATCAAGTGTATATATTTAATTTACCTGATTTTGCAGGCTTGCCTAAAAAAATCAATGGCGATCCTATTGTACTGGACTTTTCAAACTTGTATTTTATTAAGATTATATATACAAATGTAGCTAATTCCAGGTTTTAATGAAGTTTTAAGAGGTGACGAAATTTTATGAATGACTTTTTCATGTCACACTTATTTACACAACAAAAATAGCCGCATATTCCCCTAGTCCTAGAAACTAATAAATAGCAATTGATATAAAAGTGCTTTTACAAGTGTGCTGGGAAGGGATTTTCCCATACTTACATGTACGTGTATATGGGTCAAGTTTATATCTATAAAGACAAAATAAAAAAAAAATGGAATGAAACTTTTCTCAAGGTCCTTCGTACGTGCTTTTTCCGTGATAGTGTACGTGATAGAGGCATTGTTATTGCGTACCAGGATACGAAAATAGATTGTTCAAGTGTACTATTTTAGAGAATACTTATCATATCTGAAATTTGACTTCAAAACACAATTTTTAACGAGCATATTCATTGTGGATAACTGGAATTTAGAAAGTAATATTTAAACCAGCAATTTAGATCATTTAGTGAAATGTTACTGAGGATTTAAAACGAAGCTAAATGCAATTATAAGGTGAATATAGCCATCTCGATTAAATTTCAGAAAATGGAAAATGTGTTTTTCTGAACTTGTGGAAATACGGAGGACATATGACATCTCCAAAAATATTTGCTCATGAACACATTAGCTACTTGTAAAACAAAATTTTAACATTCACATTCATGTTCGATAGCTCAATCGGGAATTTACCAGCAAGCATATCTGACATGTTTCCTTTCGGCAACTACTAGTAGTACCAATACGCCTTCGGCACGCCGCAACGTCGTAGAGGAGTAGCTCCTTCGTTCCGTTTAACAAACAGGAAGACTTTCAGCGACATGGGTATCAGAACGCAATGTGGGCTTGTGAGATTAACTTCCCATTGATATTCAAGAGTCTGAAAAAAGACATTTTCTAACAGAAACTAAAAAGATAAGACCTTTATACACTTTTCTAGAACAATTGTGAAATACGGCCAAAAACGACAGTTCAAAAGATCATCTAAATGTAAGAATTATTTTTAAATGGATTACCAAATTTTTTGATCGATTTTGTTGTTATAAAATATATAAATGCCGCTTCGATTAAAAATTTCTTTGACTGTGTTTTGTTTTAGAAAAAGTCATTATTGTCCGTTTGTTTGTTTTGTTCTACAATCACTTGCTCTTAATGTTCATTTGTTTCTTCATTTTCTTTCTTTTGCGGAAATAATATAATACAAGTTTTGCATTATCAAAATTATTATTTGTTTATGTCTATTGTTGTATTGTTTTTAAGGTTAAATAAACAGCTGTAGTCATTGTCTGGTCATGTTGTTTTCCTCTCCTGAATAGTTTGT